ACAATGAGTTTTGGAGATATGAGTGTATGAATACAACGAATGCGAGTACGCGTCTTAACCACATAATGACTATTCAAATGCGAGCTCTGCTCCATTTGTTTCCAGGCCGATTGAGATGGCGATAGCAATAGAAATAGTCGCCTAGTGGCATAGGTAATCCATTTGGCTTGCCGATATCTCTGCAGCTGTCACAGAGACACCAAAAAGACACAACATACAACAACGGCTACAGTTTGTTTGAAAAGTATGCGCACAGTTGGGTCCCCAACACTCAACTTTGAGCCAGTCAGTCAGCCAGGCAGCCAGCCAGCTGCGCCCGAAAGCTTATTCCCCCCATCCATGCGCCGCCTTGTGGGCTGACTAATGAAACACAACCCAATAATTTAGTAAGTTTTACCTACGCATGCGCAATGCGACTTACAGTCGATGCCTCAACAATTGTCACAGACTATACACAAAAAGAAAAAAAAAAAACGAAAAACAAAAACAACAACTACAAAACGAACAACAAAGAATTCGGTGGTTTTATGTAGGCGAAATTTAAACACTCTTAACTCCGATTGGAGACAGCTAAACGATTAATTTAGAAGAAATCTTTTATTACTTGTATTGACTTTTATTGTCATTTATTGTTATTATTCTGATTACTAATTTTAATATTATTATTAGTTTTACTATTTTTATTATCAATGTTATTATTATTATTATTATCATTATTATCATTATTATTATTATTATTATTATTATGATTATTATTATTATTATTATTATTAATATTATTATTATTATTATTATTATTATTATTATTATTATCATTTTTATCATCATTATTATTATTAATATTATTTTAATTATTGTTTATGACTATTATATTATTATATATATAATATATAACACAAATCCTGTCAGAGCTTAGACTTAACAAAATGACAGAGCCGCGTTTGTCAGTCGGAAACTGCTAAAATTGTAAGCTAATTTAGCTATTTTTGGCATTTTACTGCTGTTTATAGCCAGCCAGCTGATACAGCTGTTTTTGGCTGATAAACTCATGATACCCTATGTAAGGGTAGCTCAAAGAGTAGTAAAAAATGTCACTGAACTCGCGCGCGACGCTTTTTCCAGCATATATATATATATTTATTTTTTTTTTTTGGGTGTAGGCCAGGCTTCAGCTGGGAAGTAAACAAAGGCACGTTTGGAAAAAAAAAACGAAAAAATCTTAGTTCGGTTTTTTTCTTTAGCTAGTTACAATTGTAAGTAGCACAACACGACGGCGACGTCGACAGCGACAGCGACAGCGACGTCGACGTCGACGTCGGCGGCGGCAGTTGAAGCAACTGCGCAGGCGCGCGCGTGTGCGTCATGAAATTAGTTTATTTGTTTGCATAAGTCGTTTGTGCATGTGTGCGTTGTTGTTGTTGTTGTTGTTATGGTTGCTGTTGTTGCTGTTATAGCAATTTCTAATAAATTTGTTGTTGGCAGCGCCAGTGTCATGCACACCTGGAGCATAATTCGCCAGCCATGAGTCAATTTCCGTCAGCTGCGTCCAAATTATAACAAAAATTGTTCAAGTAAAATATATACATATATATGTATAAAAATGCATATGTTAAACTAAAAGTGGCTGTGTGTGTGTGTGTGTGTGTAGTTGAGTACTCAACCGAAGAGCCGAAAGGGTGTGCAAAGGGGTTGGGCAGAGGGCAAAACAAGCTCCACTTAAGCCACAAGAACGGGCTACGTATTGAAATAGGGAATACTGCGACGTTAGAACAATAAACACTATACAAATCAATGCTCGATGCCACTTGAATTCAACCAGAGCGCACGGCGGAACCAACGTGATTGGGCTAGGGATTGGGTCTTGGGATTTGGGACCTGGGATTTGGGCACTTCGGTTCTCCGGCTCTGTGGTAGCTCGAGTTTTCATGGGTTTGCCCACTTGAACATTCGATGACATTTCAGTTTTTATTTTAGTATTTCGACTCTGTGTAATTATAATAATACATAAATTTGTGTGCCGCAAGGCACGAAACGTAAAAGAACAAAGCGAGAGTTGACTCGACCCGGAGATGCTCTATAAAAAACTGAATTTAATAATACTCGATCTGACAGATTCTGTATTCTAAGAGAAGTGTTTGCTTCTGGTTAAACCTTTCTGAATAACATACAAGTGTCATATGAGAAGCTGCATACTAAATTTATCGATTTACGATCTTTAAGATCTCGAGATTAAAGACATCTTCAGAGCTCAGCAATGTTCATGGCTGTTGATCAAACCCCACTTGCTTATGCATCTTAAAATACGTGGTATACATATTAAAATGAAATCTGTAAAATCATGTCGAGTGCTACAAAGTTTAACGATTCCCAGTTACGTACTTATAATGCCTAAATAAATATAAAAGATATGTATGTGTGTGCGTGCCCTCCAGGCACTGCTGGTCTTTCGGCTCGGTACTCGTAGCTGTACTTATATGGAACCCCATTAAAATGCGTACCATTCGCACTTCAGCCAAAACAGTTAGCGAGTGTGAACTGTAACGTTGCTTTAACTTGTCTTTGACAAATATAGTTCACTGTACTAAGTCGAAGAAGAGCACATGCAATAATAACTTTGTTAATTTGTCGTTACACACACTCTCGTAGAGGGGGAGGCGGGGCGGCAGTCAGCTAGAAATACCTTCCACAGTTACTGTCTGATATATATATATATATTTTTTTTGGTTTCTGTAGCTGGGGGCCCCCATCACAATGCCGTGCTTTATTTAAAGGCACAAGGTTAACACATATTGTCGCTGCGTGTAGGTTCCACACAATGTAAAGCAATAGCAATAATTATAATTTTTTGGTTTTAATATTAACAAAACGAGAAATACGAAAAAAAAAACCAACTACTCGCATATAAACCAGTTTTTAGTTGTTTAATTTCAATGCTTAATGGTCACAATTGATTGGAGTGATTATTTTAAAGATTTTTCATTATTATAATTGTTATTGTTAACGCGTTTCAGTTTGTTATTGAAGAGATCTTAGCGCTGGCTGCCGAAATCTGAACTATCTGGAGATATAGCCACTTCTTTGACATAGCTTTCGAGTAAAGGCCTTTCACTTTATTTCCTGGTCTAGTCCAGTTTCTAGACATCATTTACGCTGTTGCTATGCCACGCCCCTTTTGATAGCACTCGGCATGCATTTAAATGGGTGTCGAATCGACGGGCAGCTTCCTAGCTCAAATTGAGTAATTATCAATTGTTATTAAATATATGTGCAAATAAATAAGTAATAAACGTAATCATAAACACAATTTGACGTCGTTCAATGACTAAGTTCCTTCCACAATACACACATACACACACATGTGCATGTGCATGTATATGTGTAATATATGTGCGCGCGTCTATACCCATTAAATACCCATACACATCCATTCAAACATATATTAATATATATATATATGTATATACATGAGTACTCACAAATGCAAATTGTAAATCAGATACGGCATAAAAATATTGAACACATGGCGCAGCGTTAAGTGAAGTGAAGTTTGTAGCGGGTGTAGCGGGGGCTAGGGGTGTAGGCGAGCGGGCAGCGGGCAGCGGGCAGCGGGGCAGGGCTATTGGATAAGGGGGCAGAGAGCTGAAAAATCGAAATGAAATGAAATTAAATAAAGCACAATAAAACGTACTTAAAGATTGACGATTTTTGTGCCAGCGCCGCGGCGAGCACAGTGGTTCCATGACAATGAAAACTGGAGAACGCAAACTCTAAAATACAATTATTTTTGTTAATATTTAAATTTTCATTAGATATATATATTATCACAAAAGCAAATAAATAGAGCAAATGATAAAAAAACATAAGTGAAAAGACAAAGCAGTCTATAAATATTGCAAGAGCTGCTTCGAACAAAGATTACGACATAAGGTCCACGTTTATTAAATTAGTAAACTACAAAAAATATATATATATATATGATTTTTGTTAAATATTCCTATTACAATTGCTTCAATTTGAAATGTTAACTAGAAATACGCGAACTTAGTGTTAAGCATAGTACATAACCTGGTTTTATCGCGGATATTTTAAATTTTGTTTTCCATTTGTTTTCTTGAAGTTTTAACCAAGGTGCATAGCGCATAAGTTTTTGGGTAGAACGGCAGAGACGACACACACACACACACAAACATATATAATTAAGTATATATGGATGGGCATATTGGCTATATATGTGCCCGATTATGAAGAATTTTTGTGCAATTGTGTGTATATGTGTGTGTGTGTGTGTGTGCAAGTGTGTTCGATCTTAATATAATTGGCTGTCAGTGCGACGTTCGATCGCCCCTGAAAAATACACACACAAAAAAAGCATCGCACAAAATGTCGGCAGCTGTTTGTTAGCCCAGAGAGTGTTATTGTTGTGTGTGTGTGTGTGTGTGTGTGAGTTTTGATAAAATTTATTTGATTCTCCTTTATACATATAAATGCATTTTACAGTCATTGTTATTCCTAATTTCTTGGCCCATTTCAAAATGGCTCGCAAAACATTTATATTTCGTGTGAAGCATATACGCGTGCCCCTTGCCCCTTGCATTTGCCCTGCCCCCTTTATGGCAAGCGCTGTCTGTTGGCTAATTGAAAATCAATTAAATTGTGGCATCACATATTGCCAGAGCATATCAGAATATCAGACAATGTCGGACGCTTGTCAGAAATCATGCACAAAACAAAAACCAGCTCGAATCCTTATTTATTTTTTTTTCTTTTGTTTTGTGGCAATTGGAATTTAAGTCCAGAAACTCAGGTTCAATGTATCTTCAAGTGCGTCTTAAAGCATTTCAACAGGTCTCAAGCGGCACAAGTTTTGCATGCCCAAGTAGCTCGATATTTGGGTTCAGATTTTTTGCTGGTACCATGTTAAGATTTGAGGTTTTCGGGATCGGGATTGGGTATTATTAAAATGCGCATTTAATTGAACGCTAAATTTCTAATTATTTCAGGTGAACAAACAGTATACGGCCAACGATCTGGAGGCTTTTATGAAGATAGCCGCCAACTGGCAGAGCACCAACCACAATTTGTTGGAGGGTGTCGATCTAAAGACAGGTAAACTACATTAAACTACTTAAACACAATTGTTGTTTAACAGATTGGAATTCTATTCTTTTTGCACAGAAATGACGCAATACATGAACAGCCCATCGATGAACATGTATAAGAAACGCGAGCGTACACAGAACTGGAATCACCAGGAGAAGAAATACTTGCTGGATCTGTGCCGCAAGGATATGCGCATCATTGAGAATAAGCGACTAGACGCTGGCCTAACCGCCGTCAAGAACAAGGCCTGGAAGATTATACATCAGAAGTTCTCCAATCAATTTGGCACCGATCGCACCTGCAATCGCCTCAAGGAGCAATGGCGTCGCATGAAGGGTGAGCATAATAAACTTCTAGCTGATATTCCAAACTAATTCGTATTCTCGTTTCTTATTAGCCTGCACGCGTAACGAGATACTCGACTACAACAATCGCCTGGCCAGATTCGGTGCTGAGGTGGCCGATCGCAAGAAGCCCTCACCGTTTACCTTTGAGGTCTGGGACTTTATGCAGGAGGCGAAAAAGGCATGCAAATCGGAGGCACTCGATGGCATTGACTACTCCAAAATACCACTGGCCCTAGAGGAGGACTTTGAATATCGCGATGACTACAAATTCAATGCCGATGAACACGATATGGATGAGTAAGTGCCACAGCAACAAGTGAAACAAGGAAAGCACAACTAACATTTCTTTTTGCTTGCCCAATTGCAGCAGCCGCACACCGCCACAGGAGCTGTGCGATGTGGACATCAAGGAGGAGGAGACCAATGAAACCTTCAATGAGACCTACAACAATCACAGCAGCGATATTCATGCCAATGGCGAGCGTCTGAGCGTCTCGCCAAATCACAGTCGCAATGGCCTGCACGAGCCAGAGAGTCCGGCGGCCGCAACGCTGGACACGAGCAGCGCCTTTTTGCCGCCCACTGGTGGCGACATGTCCGGCTTTCAGCCCAGCTTCAACATGAACAACATATCCGCTACGCTGGAGGCGCTCAACGCGCTGCGCAGTGGCCAATTCCCGAGCGCAGCTGCCGCAGCGGCTGCTGCCATACAGCAGCATCAGGCGCAGGCTGTGGCACTGCAACAACAACAGCATCAACACAGCAACAACAATAACAATAACAACAACAACAATGAGGACGATGATGAGCTGCTGAAGCCCATGGCCAAACGCCAGCGCACAAGCAGCAGCAGTCTGGCCAGCGAGGAGCAACAAACAACCCTACCGCTGCCACTGCCACTGCCATTAACCACAGCTGTGCCACAATCCGCAGACAGTCAAGCATTGGAGCGCAGCAGCAGCAGCAACGGCGGCGGTGTTATCGTCGTTGGCGGCAGTAGCAACAGCAGCGCTGCCGCCGGCGCCGCCAGCAGCACTGGCAACTCCTTTGAGCTGCGCCTGTTCATGGAGATGCAGAGCAAGGAGCATATGATGCGCATGAAAATACTGGAGGTACAATTGCAGGCGGCCAAGCACAGTCGCGATCTGGTTGAGATTAACAAGACGCTGGCGCTGCAAAAACTGCAGGAGCTGGCCAGCAAGCGGTTGCCCAGTTAGAGCAACGCATCGAACACTGTTAACTGCTTGATTATCATCGTTTTCATCGTTGTTATAGTTGTATAGCTGTAACTTTGTAGCACGTAGCACACTTTAGCACGTAGGGCGTAGCTAAAGTTAAATTTTAGAATAAGCAACAAATTTTGTAACCAGAGACAGACCGGCACACACACACACACACACACGCGCACATGGAAAACACACACGGAAACACAACACATGCATTGAGCTGCGATTCACAACATTCCTGGCATTGTTTTGACCAGTATTTAAAAGCTAGAAGCACAAACACACACACACACACACACAAAGATAGACGGCAGCTCATTGCGCTTGCAGCTGCAGCGGCGCACAAAAGTATGCCATATTATTTTATATAGTTAAAGGACTCTCGCCCTCAATACAACAGCAGCCCATGCATACAGCCTACCTCACAGTATACAACACACAAACACAAATACACAGGGACACAACAGAATCCTGGGCAGAGGCAGGTGAGTTAAGGCGCGTGTTTTGTGGCTCTGCACTTGACCAAGTCAAGTGATTTGTGAATACGCCCGAACGCATTCAAGTTTTTAGTTCTACTTAGTTCTAGTTCTAGTTGTAGTACCCGTAACAGCTCTCCAAGTTGCTCAAACCTACACACACACGCACACACAAACACCGAAACGCACACACACAAACTCTACTTACCACAAATGTATTTTAAACATGTACTTACAAAATATATATATATATATATATATATATATATATATATATATGTATATATTTTTGACTTGAGTTCGACTAACGAAATGCACAACAAACCTTTTTTTATCTTATTTTAGAACTAAGTTATTTCACCTTGCATATTACGCGCATATATTATCTATATGATCGAAATTCTTAATGCAGATTTCTATTTATTTTGTATAGTTCGTATGTGGACATGTTTTTCGTTTTTAAATGCCATATTAATTTGCAAGTATATCCACACATTTATTGTTTCAAATGTTGTTAAGCGACCTATCTACATATATATATATATATATAAATATACATATATATTTATGTATTTATATAGACAAACATATAACATAGATTATATACAAAAGCTTTTACGTTGAAGCAGAATTTCATTTTCATTTTATTGGCGCCTGTTATGTAACGCTTCTTGTAAAGCATTTGTAAATGAGAAATACAAACTATTTTAAATAAAATGAAGAGATATTATAATCATAGGACCAGCACTTTAAGATCAAAATTTCTAAGGCAATTATTCATCTATCTATATATCTCAAGACGACTCTTTTCTGCGCATGCTCCAAATTCTTTTTGCATAATTTAGCAACCTTTTATTGCTTCGCAGTCTGGACTCCACATAACGTTCCTGTAGCTGAATGTAATCGCTTATAAGTGCAAGCATTTCACGCTTCTAAGAATGATTGCATTCGGTGAAAGTTGACCGAACTGTGAACTTTGAACTGTGAACTGAAAAAACTTACCCGAACCAACTCGCTAATCTGTTTCCTCCACATGGCCATGTTCTGAGCAATAACAGCATAAATAACACTATTCTAAGGTATATTTAAGTGAATAGAAATTTACCTTCGCCTCGAGAATTTTAGCTTTTTCGTTGTCTGATAACAAGCGCAGCTGTTGAGGGAACGAGAGACTCCATCTAATGACACATTCCATCACACATCTGGGCCTGAAGCAGCTCCACATTGTAGAATATTGAATTTGGAATTTTGATTTTTGTTTTGTTCAAAATAGCCTGTATTTGGAACAGATTTACGTTTGCCTACTGTTTTGTAAATGCTGTTCTGGCCATAATTTTGCCGTATACATTTTTTTTAGGAACACAATTTCAATTATCTGCTTGCTGTGTTCTCGCAGCTCGTGATTCTTTCACCTCCAGATTGGCGTCCACATCCCCTTCATATTCCGTTTTTTTCAGCTCCTTGATCATTTTGTTGCGCAGCCTTTGCAGCTGCTCCCTTTGCTAAAGTAAATATTAAATTGTGTTGCTTTTTGGCAGTTCTTAAATATATTTCCAATACGAACAATTTTCAAAAAGTGCACATTCTCTACGGCCCTGGCTCTTTCGTAGATCTCCTTAGTATAAGATCGAGACATGATATTCAAAAATCCGTGTGGTAAATCATCAAATATGGACTTCTTGAGCACCTTATAAACCGACAGCATTTTGCTTTTACAAAAAAAAAAAAAAAAAAAAAAAAATTACTAAAAATTTAAATAAAAATATAAAGGTATGAAATGAGGTTTTAATTTTGAAAAGAGTTTACAAAGTTTAATTTTGATGGAAATTATTATTCAGAATTGTTTTAAACAGCGCCTACTAAGGTACGTATGCTTATCAATCCTTGTGGGTTGAATTTTCGTCGCCTTTCTCCATATTTCGCTTCAGATCCTCCAGCTCCTTACCCAATTTCTTTATTTCATTCCTGATTTGCCTTTGATTTTCGATAATACGTTGAAACTGTTCGTATTGCTTTAACAAGAAATTGAAGAAATTAATATCAAACGATTAAAACGATTGTCATTCAAAGTACTCACTATTTTCCGAAAATGAACGTTTTCACTTGCTCTGCCCCTTTCACGAATTTTATTGCCGTAATGCCTGGTTCTAAATGGACCTACCATAGCTGGGATTATGGTTTTTATAGAGAAGCTATTTATGTACCAAAACATTTTTACAGCGGCCCTTAAACTGTAGTTTCCCATGAACGATATTTCGAAATACAGATTTTGATTGAAGAATTTTTTTTGTTATATTTTCCAAAAGCACCTACTCAGGTTTAAATGGCGTTTCGAAATAGAACCCAACATGGACAAACTCGTTCATGAATCTGTTGCTTTTATATTTGCAACAGATTCATGAGCGAGTCTTTGTGGTTTGACTCTATCTAAAAATATAAGGGATCGTAGTTGCGAACATTTCTCGGTGGAAAAATTCACATTTGGTCCGCCTCTGTCAAGGTTTTTGGTGTGGATATTGTCAGGCATTCCTCTGGCAAAGAAAATCAATCTCAAAATTTGATAAATAAAAGAATTTAAAACCATTTTTTTTTGTATCTACCTAGATCCTATAGTAAAATAACATGACTAAGCAAGTTTTACTCGACGTTCTCTTAGCGCGTTCTCAATTTCCTCTAGCCTATCATTTAGCTCCACGATATTCCTATCAAGTTGCCTTCGTTTAGCTAGCTTTGCCCGTCTTAACGTACGCAGCTGTTCATATTGCTAAATGGAGAAGAAACAAATTAAAAAGAAAATGGATTCATTTAAAGTACTAACTATTTTCAGGAAGTAAACGTTTTCCATGGCCTTGCCCCTCTCGTGAAGTTTCTCAGTATAATGCCTAAGTACATCGTTTGGAATTAGCTTAGTAATAGTAATTAGCCAATTAATTAAAGTGAAGAAAGACTTACTTTAGGTATTTTAAGGACCACACACTATGGGTTTTCAATAGATTGAAAACATTTCTATATTTGTTGTGCAGAACAGTTGCCATATTTAATATCGCTAAAGCCAAAAAAAATTTAGGTTTGAATAGAAACAAAAATTTTGAAATTTAATTTTTTCTAATATATAAACATATTGTTTAAAAACCTTAGGGCAACTGAATATATTTTCAATGACTACGTGACAGCAGACATTTTTGATAAAATGCTCACATACTTATGTTTTTGGCTAGGAAGCTGATATAGTTGATATATGAAGCCAGCCAGTCTTAATATGACACACTGAACTAAAATTGAATAAGCTAGAAGCAATGTGAATGCACTTAACATGAGCAAAAGCACAGCCTTTTATACCAAATGTCGCCTTTCTATGCGATTCTCATTGATTTAAGCAACGCATTCCGATGACGGAAGCCGAACACAAGAAAAACCCAGTTAAAAATATTATTAGAGTTGTGCACCATATATTAAGATAAAAATTACAACGGTTTTTTAATTTAAGAAACGATGTAGGGAGTCATTATTTTTGAATTGAATTTATCTTCCATATGGTTGGCTTCTTCGTGCAGACTATTTTTCATTAAATTTGGCACTGTTCAACTTTGCTAGGACGTATCTAATTTCATCTTCCAATAATGTTATTTTATAGTCAAGCATTTTGCGTTCATATAATTTTCTATTTCTTATTAAACTCACTTGCGAATGTAGCTTTGGATAGAGAAAAAATTAATTACAAAAAAAAGAAGCTACATTTATAGAATACAAACTATTTTCAAGGAGTTCGAATAATTATCACCTCTGCCCATCGATTTATACGTTTTATTGCTGTAATGCCTGGATAATATATGCTGATAGATAATTATGTTTTGCCACAGATATCGGGAAACTTACTTAAGGCTCTGTGGATAAGCTGATCTAAAGGGTCTCAATAAATTCAGTGCAGCTCTCTTTGTTGGCCCGAAGAAGCCTTCCATAATTAGCATCTGAAAAAGTAAAAAAAAAAAAAAGAAAAACTAAAATTTTGAGCAGGCACAGCCAGACTTAAAAATATGATAAGAATTTTGACTGAATGAGACTGACATTAGAAAATATGGAAGCAATTGCTCCTACGATTTGACAAATCAGCTATTCAGCTGGTCGTCTTCTTTTCGCGTTCATCGTTTTTCTTTTTGATGCTATCAATTTGCTTATCCAACTGTTCAATTCTATCTTTTATAACGTCTCTCTCCTTAAGTATTTTAGTACGCAGTTCCTTCAGTTGTTCCCGTTGCTATAATAGGGCACATGTTTATTATCTATTGAAACAGAAACCACATACAATCGAACCATTTTTAAGAAGTTCACACTTTCCTTAACCTTGCCCGTCTCCCGGATCCGCTCCGTGTACCTAAAGTGCGTTATAAAGCTGAGCTGAGCAGAGCAGATCGAACTTAACTCGGTGGCATGCACACTTACTTAATCACCTGTTGACAGTACACTTGTTGGGGCTGCAACAATCGAAGATTTTTGGCAAGGAAGGCAGAGACGGTTAGCAAATTTTGAGCCATTTTAATGTTTGTTTCACTTAAAATTTGGAAAAATAATAAATTTAGATGAAAATTGAGAATTAAGTGAGTATAGAATAAAAAGGGTCTGACAAGAATAAAAATTGTGAAGGCTAAGGGCAGGCTAAATAGTTCATAAAAAAGGCTATAAACCAAACATGTTAGAGATCACTTCGTGAAAACCATTAAACAGAAATCGAATATGAGCATAAATGTGAGCTATATACCCTTCAATAGCAGCTCTTTCCCTCCAGAGAAAAACACATCAGCTATATTAAACTATGGTAATTTATTTCACTTAATTTTTTTGATCGTTTAGGTAAAACAGCTGTGTGATCAACTCTCTCAACTAGGCGTACATGGTCCTGGGCTGACCAGGCCGGCGTATGGGCGCATCATAATAGAAAGGACGCTGCTGTGGCCGCGACTGTGAGCCGCCCCTCCAGCTGTTGCCACCACTGTCCCGCGAAGGTTCGGCCTGGGCGCCGGGCAGCATGCCAAACGCTGCAATCAGCGCCAACAGCAGAAAGCAGAGTGCGTTGAATTTCATGTTGTTCTATGGGAAAACCTTTCTTCGACTAATTAGCACGACTCACTGGACGACTAATTTATATAGACAGTTCGCAGTGTGCTTGTTGCGGCTGTGGTGAAGCACCGAGCGGGGTTTTTGTTTTGCATACAAAGAAACTTGCGTCTGTCACTGATAAGCTCACAGAAATCACCGCCTTATTTAGCTTGCTCTTCCTCTCCCTCTCCCTCTCTCTCTCTCTCGCTACCTCGATCTATGGTGAGCTCTGCTTGGGGCACTCTCTCTCTCTCGCTCGCTCGCATTCTGGGGTTCTCTATATTTTTTGTTCACGTTTCACTGGCTGAGCTGGTTCTGTGCTCGCCTGCTCCTGGGGCGCGATTTCTGCCGGCTTCTGCATTTGCATCACATCGATGTCGAATTCCATTTGCTTAATGCTCCTCGTCAGATCTGTTAACATTGACTCTACGCAACGCTGTCGCTGCATTAGCACCTTGGAGCGTGCCTCCAGCTCGTTGCGCTCCTGAAAATTTGTATGTTCGCATGAGTCTATATATATAGTCTATATAATATATGCATTGTCTTACCAAGCGCAGCTCCTCCAGCTTTAGATCCACACTGTTTCCCATTACATTGGCCAAATTGAAGTTGTTTTTGATCAAAAATTTCCTTAAAAGAGGTTTCTAATGTATTTGTTAATTAATGATGCCTGAAGTGGCCTTACCAGTTGGTCAAATCTTTGGTCTGTTTTAGAATTTTGCGTATTATATTCGACATTTTTAATTAGTTAAACTGAGGCCAAGAATTTGATTTTTGATAAACAAAAAATAAAAACAAAACGAATTTAATTTTCTAGTACACACAATTTTGATGTATACTCAAGTGTAACTAAGTTTTTCAAATGTGAGTAAAATGTTGTTTTTACAAATTTGACCAAATCTTAAGGTGGATCTATTAAAAGTCGATGTCTAACAAGCGCCGTACACTTGATGCTGGCATGCACTCTATTTGTGGACGTCACTGTGAAACTCTCTGTCACAATTGAAACTCTCGCTGCATACTTTTGGGCGAATTGAAAAGTTAATTTTGGTATTTGTCAACTCATGCGTCGACTGGGGGAAATAACACTTCTCCAATGACCTTGACCTTGCATTTCTCGATCAGCACCATGGAAAATTAATTTGTAAACAACTTTTGTGTTAATTGTTCGATTGTTATGAAAAGATGGCATTCAACTGTTTGTGTTTGTATATAAACCAGCTGTTCCGCTTAAAATGCGTCTGAAAGGCCTATGCGCAGGCAAGTGTATTTGATCTGCGAAGGGAATACAAGAACTCAAGAGCCTCCAGCACTTGTTTTCTGTGAGATCGCAGTTATATATACACACACATTTGCATGCCAATTAGGATTATTGTTTTATATAATCCGAATATGTAATACAATTTCAATTGAAGGGTGTGTACTTTCTTCCTACCTGTTCCAAATTTATCAGAAATCTTGCGACACCAGAAGCAATTTCAGAGTTAATTTACAGGTAAATAAATAATGCTTATAAATACAATTCAATGAATGACGTTGCGTAAAAGAACGTTTCAGAATTTTAATTCAAAATGCAAACAGAGCCGAAAACCTGTTTTCAATACGTACTTAAGGACTGTTAGATGCAAGATTTAGACGTGCATTAAATTTATTTACTACACATATTAAATAATAATAATACGCGAAACACGAAATGACAAAAAACAAAAAAAAAAACAAAACATTTAAAATTCTCCCATGCAGGTAGACAAGCTGTTAAATAAGATCTCCGTCAAATGTTATCAATCAATGGGAAGAAGAAATACAATTTTCAAGTTTTATGCCAAAAGCGTGCATTAAATACAATTCTTTATTAAAGCATTTCGACAGTTTGGGTTTACTTTAAGAATCATACACAAAATATAAACGTTAAATGCAATTAAGTTAAATGTCACGTTATAGTTTTATGTGCTTCGAGGGTGTTTTTAAGTGCTTCACTTGTGCAAATTGTTAAGGAAATCTTTGTGGCGCTGAATGGCCTCCTCGTGCTCCTTGATCTGCTGATGATGGAATTCGGCCTGATGGATCTGATCGTTCTTTAGGCGCTCCAATTGCTCTTTTTGCTGAAAGCACAAAAAAAAAAATAAATAAACAAAAAGATTTGCTTGAGTAATTTATTATTGCAACGTGAGTACAATTGATGGGCAAAAGTTAATTATACCTTAGCGATAATTGACAATATTGTATTCGTTAGTATTATTTACCGACTGCGCGCACTTTATAAAGCCGCTTAGCTATGGCGCAAAAGTCCCAGTGTCTGAACGCCAGCGCGAATATTAAGTAAAAATACTTTTAACACACACACACACACAGACAGACACTTACAAACACACACACACAGACGAGCTCCCCAAAAATGTCTACTAACATCTTGTCACCGCATGCAAATTAGCTACCATATTATTAACTTGCGAATGAGAGAACATAAAAGCTAAATAAGAGAAAAAGACTCACAACATATTATTTTTGCGGCTGCTGTAGCATCTGGCTGAGATCCCAACCTGAACCTGAACCTGATTCAGTTTCTGTTATTGGATATTGGCTGGCGTTGCCTTCGAGCCAGTTTTAGTTGTAAATTGGCAGCCGAACTGATGAAAACGCGACTAAAAAGCAAAGAATCTTCAAGCAGAAAGTGGATATTGGACTCAAGGCAATTAATGCTCCATCTGGCTAAACAGTACTCAAAAGAACGACCGCAAATACAGCTAATTAAAAGTCAATATTTATGAATGCGGCTTAGTCTGACTGCAAGCCCAAACATTAAAATTATCAGCTCCAAAAAGTATACAAACGTATAGACATATATATTCTTCTATATAAACCGTTGATAAGCGCTACCCATCACAATTCCATCCAGCACTTTGACAATTGAGCAATCATTCAAGATGAGACAGTGTCGAGAAAGAATGCGGCTGCCGCTGGCTTTGCCTCTGCTGCTCATTATCAGCACAAGTCTTGCAGTGGCTGGCTACAATCCTGCCAATTACGGTCCTGCCTACAGGGCTCCCAGTGTCGATTCCGACGGCAGCCTTGCAGCGGCGCCTGGTTTACGACGTCCCACACGCACCGTGGAAACGGTGCATCAATGGCGACAATTAGAGTACGGCTTCGCTTCGGAACAGGATCGTCAGAAGGCGCAGGCAGATGGTAATTTAATGGCTGGCTATGGCACGCCCATCGATGTACAGCCACATTATTTGCCCAACGGGCAGGTGCGTGTGTTCACGACAGTGCCACGTTTTGTCAGCGGCATACCCTACACTCTGGCCACCATTTCGGATCAGTTGGGCAGCAATGGACCACAATTGCAGCCGTATCCCAGCTTTAATTGGCACAACAACAATGGTGACAACTGTGACCAGATCACCTCCGCATTTCGTGTAGCTGTAAGTAGCTGGGAGCTAAGTGCATCCTTTAATGGGTTGCCTCATTGGTTAACTGCTTTCCAGGTCTCGGAGTGCAATCAGTTGTGGGTCATTGATTCGGGCAATGTTGGCGGGGTGCAGCACTGCCCGCCGCAGCTGTTGCAGTTCGATCTCAACAACGATCGTTTGCTGCATCGGTTCCGTTTCCCCAATGAGACTTATGTGCCGAACGCCTCGCTCTTCATCACTCCCAATTTGCTGGTGCAGGATCCACCGCCACGCGGCAACTGTGCACGCACCATCGTCTATGTGTCAGATGTCTCCTATCACGGCCTTGTCGTCTACGATCAGCAGGCGAATGCGGCTTGGCGCATCGAGAATCGTTTCATGTACCCAGATCCCGACCATGGACAGCACACCATTGCCGGCGAAAGCTTCATTCTGATGGACGGCATCTTTGCCGTAAACAATGACAAACGCAATCTCTATTTCCATCCATTGGCCAGTGTCAGTGAGTACTCGGTGCCTCTGAGTGTGCTGAACAGACGGGAGAACTGGCATGATGCTGTGGATGCCATGCCGGAGCAATTCAAGCTGCTGGGCAGGCGTAAAAGCGAATGTGCCGCCTCCGCCATTGACAGTCGCAATAATCTCTACTGTGTCACCTTCAATCCCATCAAGCTGTTCGCCTGGAACACAAACACGCCCTACAGCACACGCAACTTTGGCAACCTGCCAGCCAAGGCCAGTGAACTGCAGTTTGTTAGCGGCATGAAGGTGGTGCGCAATGCTGGCGGCCAGGAGGAGCTCTGGATGTTCTCCAACCGTTTTCAGGTAAGCTTATTATTCCGTGTCAACCTGTTCCGTGCACGCTTCTTATGCTGCCTGATTTTCGTCCTGTTGCAGAAAATTTCAAGTGGCACATTAAATTCGAACGAGATCAATTTCCGCATTTTGCGCCGTCCGCTGGACGACATACACAGCGGGGTATTCTTTGCCAGCGACGATGATCTGGCCAATCGTTTGGTCTTTAGTTAATCTGTATATAAGTCGACTATGAATAAGGGCCAATTGGTCACCCAAACTAAACCGTCTAACTATGTTAAGCATCAATTTCGCCAAGTCACGAAAGCTACAGTGAACGCTCGCAAATTAGAACGATTCGATTAGAGAGTTGATTTAAATGTGCGAAACAATTCCAAAAAATTCCGGTTTCTGATTACCCAAAAATTGTTAAATACAACAAAAAGGGTAAACAAAACAACAACAGATAATATAATTAATTATAATTTTTTAGTTATTTAGTTGCTTAATCTTAATAATATTTCCAAAATTCAACAGTAAATATGGAACGCATTTAAATTACATCAGTTTACACAACATTTACCCCCTTGAGCAGGGGTATTCGTATAGTCGAGCAGCATTGCGTTATGCTGGCCGGCTGCTAATGAAACCATATTTATCGCTAATATTTTTGTCAACCGAGTTCAAAGTCGCCTTATCGCCAATGCTACGCATTGAGGATGAGTTCGCGGACACGTGGAACAAGTGGAATTTGATTAAAAGCAACTGGTTAACATTAAAACTGGATCCGGTTAAAAATAAACAACAAATAAACTAAACAGAAGCTAATCACACGAATATTGAATACTCTCCTCCGGCAAGCCTAATGATTAGAGAAAGCTAAAAATACGCATATCAAAGCAAGAGATTTGCGTTATGCAAACAACATGCAGATAGAGAAATCGTACTTCGACACCTTTAATTAACTCTTTGGCAAAGCGGGAGAGTATTTTGATTAAATTAGAAATTAGCATAAGATCTGCGAGAGGAACGTTGTTTTGTATAATCAACCTTCAATCGGTTTACTCTTTAGCAAAGCAAAAAAAACTTTGTTGTTTTTCGAGGGAAAAACCATACTCAACGTCAAGTCTTAAGCAAACGGAAAGTTCAGTTTGCCTAAGATCTCAGTTAGTCACAAAAGCCCGCCGTTAAAGTATATGTGATTTATTGCCGCAACACTTACGGGGTGCAATGGACTCTACCTTGAAAGCGTATGCTGCTGCACAGTTTGGTAGCTGGAAGTCGCTGGAAGGCGTTCATAATTAGCCCCTACGAATTGCACAGCTTTTTTGGAAGTTATTTTTTTGGTTGATATAAACAAGATCGTTACAATGAGAATTTCAATGCAAGCTTTTAATGTGCAATTAAACCAGTTTACAACAAAGCTGACCCAATTGACCAGGTCTGGTCTGGTTAGGCGGATTAGAAAGACATGGACCGCACGCTGGCGACGCAAGCGCAGTTACAATTTTGGCCTTACGTGGCGCAGATCACGCGAAAGTGAATGGATAACAGCAGCAGCATGGAACACCAGCCAGGCCTAAGGATAATAGCATTGCTTAGCTGTGTGCTCGGCATGGTGGCAGGACAATATGCCACGGCACCTGGCTTTGGAGGATACGACTCCAAGGCCTTGGAGCGAGTCTTTGAGGCGCGCAACCTGCAGCTAAGCTTCCCAACGTCCGAGGAACGGGAGCGTGTTCTGCGCGCAGGTCTCTATGATCCTGGTAATGTCGTGCCCATCGATGTGGATGTCTACTACACACGTAAGTAAATGACAATCGAAATATTAAGCTAATGCAAAGCAAAAAGCTCTAGAGATGAGATCATTCTCCTTTGTTGCGCTGCAAGTATCATCCCCAGATCTGACTAAATATTAAGTTTCCTTCTTTTAGATGGTGACAAGACGCCCTCCATCTTTGTGACCATACCGCGTTTCACTAAGGGCGTGCCCTACTCCCTGGCCTATGTGACCAACGAGGTGGGAGAGAACGGCACCGAGCTGCGTGCCTATCCCAGCTACGATTGGCATCAATCCCATGGCGCCGACTGCAACGGCCTGACATCCGTATATCGAACACAGATCGACGAGTGCGGACGCATGTGGATATTGGACAGCGGCGAGATTGACTTTGTGCAGCACTGCCCGCCGCAGTTGTACGCCCTTGATTTGGCTAGTGGTGGAGTGGTGCATCATTACCGCATGCCCAAGGACATGTACAAGACGGGCGTCAGTCGCTTTGTGACGCCCACAATTGATTTGGATGCACACAATTGCGAGGTGGGCCACGTGTACATGGCTGACTCTATTGGCGATGGCATTGTGGTCTATGGCATGGCAGCACAGAAATCGTGGCGCATCGAGAACAAGTACACCTATCCGCATCCAGACTTTGGCACCTTTACGATAGCCGGCGAGAGTTTTCAGCTATGGGATGGCACCGTGGCTCTCACACTAACCCCACACGGTCTGGCTGGACACATGGAGCGTATGCTGTATTTCCACTCGCTATCCAGCGATTGGCAAATGGCAATACCACTGCAAGTGGTCAACAATGCTAGCATCTGGAAACGGAACGATGTCAGCGCTGGGCTGGATCAGTTTCTGCTGCTGGGCAAGCGAGGCAGCCAGTGTGTGGCCGCAGCCATGAGCGAGACAGGCATGTTGCTCTGCGGCTTGGTACAGCCGACCAGTATACTGGCTTGGAACATACGCCAAGCGTACAATCATGAGAATCTATCCGTACTGATCCAGGATCAGCAACGCCTGCAATTTATCAGCGGTCTTAAGATTGTACGAAACCACGAAGGCAAGGAGGAGCTATGGGCGCTCTCGAATCGCTTACAAAAGGCTTTTGGAGCGGGACTCAATTTCAAAGAAGTCAACTTTCGCATACAGAAGTGCGGCATCCATGAGCTGCTCCATGGCCTGCCCTGTTACTAAGCCCAATCTCAATCTGGTCAGTCTTTTTGAACCCCAGTGTTGCCACCTTATTTTCTTTACTTTTCTCGATTCTTCTACATTTCTTAGCACATTCGCCATTCCACAACGAAATTGCGGTATAATTTTAAAGAATTTCTCATTTAGTGTGACCTACACGCCATTTAAATAAATTGTACATATTTGCGTTTAGATGAAACTGCAATTCAGTTTACTCACCTTCTTGTAAAAGAACTCCTCCTCGCGTGCAGCCTCCAGTTTACCAAAGGCGCCACCAGCAGCACGAATGGAGCCGCCGCCACCGCCCCCCTGGCCGGCGCCGCTGCCCAAGTCACCTAGCTGGCTGCCGCTCATTTTCGCCAATCTGTAGGGAGAGCAGCGCAATACAAAGAAAGCATCAGAACTTTTGCACTTGTTATGTAATAATGAAGTCATAGGCGCACACACACACACACACACATGCACAAATGCATATATTGCCGGGTCAAGAGTAATGAAATTTTGGTGATCGAATTATCTTATCAGTAACAATTTACGAAAGTTACGTATGTGCGTGTTAGAAAATACACTTGTGTAGTGTTTTTTGTAAGCTTAACAAAATACCATATCTGTATAAAGGTGTTAACCAATTAGCATTTAATTGTAGGTTAAAAACTTACTGTACTCCTGCGGGGTACAAACGGGCAGTGCTACGACGTACAACGAACATTTCTCTCAATAGGTTATGCAAAAACGGATGTAAAAAATCTGGAAACAAGAAAATACGGCTATTAAACCACGAAAATCTACGAGAAATTTCTCCACGCAGTTGGATTCCATATAATATAAACAGAGAAAAGCCACAAGCATACACATTTACATTTTTATTTGTGTATCGAGATACTTATGGGTATGTAGCACTTTTCTTTATTGTTTTCACACAAAGAATAACATTAAGTTATATGTATGATATATATATATAAAGAACAATTTTTATTGTGGCGCAAAAAACCTACCTGACTTCTCTGCGTGTTAAACTTGTATGTCGTAAGTGTGCCCGAAGCATCGAGCCGGTTGCTTTTGGGGCTGCCATTATATTTAATAGGTTAATGCTGCCACTTTTTTCACTCATTTGATGCATGACCAAATTTATACAATCTGTCATGCAAAATTATGTTTTCGCAACTAACACTTTAAATTATTTACTAAAATTCATATAAAATCAACATTCTTTTTGTTTATAAAAATAACACGGTATTCACCAATTGCAAATTGTGTGGTTCTGCTCATATCTAAGCAGCATACTATTTAACAGGGTGGCAACGGCATTTTGATAATTTGCTACGTGCTACGGTCACACTTTATAAGTTCTCAGCAAAAATTTTGCCGACAGACGCTTGTTTATTTGTTTAATATAAATTTACTTTATTTAAGTATACAAATTAATATTATAACATATAAACGGGCCATAGTTGCAAGCCAAAATGGCCGATGCCGATGATGGAGCCGAGCTGCTCTTCTTCGACACTTTCTCACACGAGGAAGTTACCGTAAGTTCAATTTGTGTTTTTTCAGCATCAACATGTGTGTGTGCATTAAAAACGTTTTCAAATTGCCAAAGGATATTAATTTGGACCTGGTTCAGTTCCCGAAGCCTGTTTTCATAACACAAGTGCGCATTATTCCACTGGGTGCCCGAGTGCAAGCAGATTTTCCAGGCGGCGTTCGGCTTGGTGCCACGAATCCTTCAAAATTTGACCTGGAGTTCTTTGTTAATGATCTGGGCATGCCGGGCGCTTCGGCGTTTGAGAATTTGGGACTCCTCCGTTACAATCAGAACGATTGCATACATCTCGACTGCTCGCAGGAGAAGATACCAACGGATGGTCTCGTGCTGCGAGGCTGGTACAGTGCCATTACGCTAGCTGTCTATGGCATACTAACCAACTCGGTAACGGAGCCCATTGCCAGCCCAACGTTGCCCTGTGAGCCGGCTATGACCGGACCCGAGATGTGCAATCTTAGCGGAGAGGCCCATAATGTGCTGCTACCGGATGAAGTGCTCAAAGACGACTGGTCAGAGCCAATGCAAAGCGAGCTGCTGGTTTCAGCGGCCCACAAGACCAGCGTCAGCGTTAGCGACTACGAGCACGAGGACATGGAATATGGCATGTCACGCGATCATTACCATCAGCATGCGGATGAGGAACAGCGCGAATTGCGTCGCTTGCGACGTTCCACGCACTCCACGGATCATTCGCCTCCACCGCTACCGCTACGCACGCACACGCACTCGGAGAGCAACGACAGGGAATACCTGCGCTGGTGAGTTGAGTATAATGTGGGACTGTTCTATTCATTCTCTAATCTTTCTCTGTACAGTTCTCGTGACAAGGCGCCTCGTGATTGGTCGCGATCGCCAGAGTATTCGAGCCACCGCTCACGTCGCAAGCGTTCGGAACGCTCACGTTCGGATGCAGACGAACACAAGTGGCCGCGGACGCCGCCAGTTTCAATTGACTCGCCCACACGTCCGCGCTCCCCGGACACCATGGATTACGACGATGACGATACACGTTCGCACTATAAACTACAGAGTTCGCACGGTTATCGACACTCGTCGGAGTCGTTGCCACGCGAGCGCGAAGAAGAGGAGCGGGAGCGTGAGCGAGAGCGCTCAGATACACCGCAGGAGCAATTTGAGCCCATTTTAAGTGATGACGAGATCATTGGTGATGATCTAGAAGAAGAAGACGACGGAGTTGACGCGGCTGCAGCGGCTGAGTATGAACGCGAACTGGAGGCAGCTGCAGCTGCTGCTCCGCCGGCCATAGACGCCTTCGAGCCATGGCAGCGTCCGCTACTGAAATTCGACGGTGACTTGCAGGCGCATTTCAGTAAAGAGCTTGATACCCTTCGGCTACTCTTCAAGAAGCTATCGCTGCAGATCCGTTGGGACAATGTGAGCGCCTTCAACGAGGAGCACGGCGGCGTCACTGTGGACGAGCGCGAACAGTTCGTTTACCTGGGCGAGCAGCTAAACAATCAGCTGGGCTACCTAACGCAGCACTACAAGCGGCGCAATTTTGTGCTGCAGCAGTTCTTCAAGAACGACGAATCGCATCTGCGTCAAGCAGCGAATATATTACAAATAGCATTGAGCTTCCAGGCGGCCTGCATGCAACCGCAGCCAGCCTTTAAGATACGGCACATAAAGCTGGGCGCACGCATGGCTGAGTTGCTGTGCAACAACGAGCAACTGTTCCGGCATCTGCTGCAGCAGCACAATTTTGATCCTTTTGAAGCTGTCTTTGCTCTCTACAAGGAGCCTTACATGGCGTTGTCTATCAAGCTGCTGCTTCTTAAAGCTGTCTACGCCATGCTGGACACACAGCTCGGCATCAAACACTTTTTGGCAGGCAATACCAACGGCTATCAGCTGATTGTGGAGTCAATCAAGACGGCCAAGCTAACCCGCACGAAATACGCTCTGCAGGCCATCATCAAGAAGCTGCATCTCTATGAGGCTCTAGAGAGTGTTCGCAACAGCTGCAATCAGCTCTTCGTGCGCAAAATGGAACGACCGCCGCAGGAAATTTGTCAAGAAATTGAATATGCATTTGAAATGCTCATGGATGCTTTGGTGGCTAACCAGCTAAGTTTTCAACAGCCGCGTCGCTTTCTACCCGTCTCCAAGAAATTCGAATTGGTCACCGATCCAAATGCGCAGCGCAGCTTTGGCAATGCGCTGCAATCCTACTTTAAGCAGCACGCACTGGCCGAGTCCCTGCTGCTGATTCTAAGCAATTCAAAGGAACTGCCGGCCACCACATTTTTGTGCACACTGGATTTGATGCATGCTCTGCTCAAATCGCACGTGGGCATTGATTACTTTGTAGACGATGCATTCGAAGCGACGCAACTTATTGTCGCCATACTGCTGGGTCTGGATGAAGTGCCTACGATGCCCAAGCCGGATATAGTCAAGGAACCTGAGCAAGAAGGTAGGTGTCTTGTTCAACTGAAGCTTCAAGAAATGTACAATTTGCGTATTTTACAGTTAAAACAGAGCAGACAGATAAACCTGTGGACACTTTAGACACCTCGGAAAAGGAAGCAGAGGCAAAAGTTGAAACATCACCCGGTGCAACTGTGGCTATTGATGTTGCCGTGCAAACGGAGCCTACACCCGTCAAAGTACCTCAGAAGTTGGCGCCCATTCTTCGGCCCGTTTTGCCTCGCTTGGCGCGTCTGGGTATTGAGTTGGCGTACAAAGTGCAGACACGCTACCACCTGGATGCGATTGTCTTTACGGCAGCAGCGCCCGAGTACGATGCCATTAAATTGGCCACACACATGCACTCGATATACTCCCAGACCTGCGATCCGGCTGGTCGGCAGCACACCATTGAGGTGCTGGGACTGAACAATAATCTGAAAATATTCATGGACCTCATTAAAAAGGAACAGCGGCTACAATCCCAGCGACAGCTCAGCTCGCCGGGCACTAAATACAAGAGTCCAGTTCTTAGTTATGCGGTGGACATGGTCGACGCTTGTGTACGCTACTGCGAGCAGCTTGACTATCTAATTGAGCATGGCGCAGTTATACTGGAGCTGGCCAAGAACCATGAAACCTTTGAGCCCTCTGTGTCGGCCGTGCTACAGGAGATGTATGTGTATATGAAGCCATTGGAGGCCATTAATGTGTTCATCTACGATGACATAATGCCCCTGGTTGAGGTAATTGGACGATCCCTGGACTATCTGACCACATTTCCGGGTGATTTGATAATGGCCTTGCGTATACTGCGTTTCTTGGTCACCACGAAGTCGACACCGCCACCCGGCATCAAGCAATCCAAGCGTGTGGGCACCGAGGAACTGAAACATCGCTTTGTGGCCCTCCAGCTGTACGCAGCAGACGGCGTGCAGCTAATGATACAGATAATGGAACGGCTATGCACGTATTTTGAGCAGCCCGGTATGCATGCGCCCGCCCTGATGACCATTCAGGGCGTACATTGCTGCCAGATTATGTTGCCTACGCTGCAAATACTGCGCGAGCTGCTCTCCTATGCCATACTGTGCCGCGACGGCACCTTCAAAGATCTGACCTCCATTGATCATCTGGTCAAGGTATATTTTCTGCTATACTATTATCCAACACGCTGTCAGGCCGGTGCCGAGGTGGAGCAGTGCAAACTAGAGGTGGTGCAGACTCTTTTGGCCTATACACAGCCGCACGAGCAGGACGAGGAGTCGTTGCACAAGTCGCTCTGGACGCAAATGATACGCGAGGTGCTGAAAAACATCGATGGACCGGCCAACTTTATACCGGGTCTCAAGTTGTTGGCGGAACTGCTGCCGCTGCCGTTACCCATGCCACAGCCGTTGAGCGATCAATTGCAGCAGCAGCACAAACAGCGTTTAATCACCGAACGGAAACTGTGGTCCGCTCACTTACATCCGCAGAGCGGACAAATTGCCAAGTTGGTGGAAGCGCTAGCGCCTTCTAGTTTCCCGCAGCTGTCGGAGCTGCTGCAGCGCGTCTGCATGCAGCTATCGGACTTGGCGCCCAACATGACGCTGCTGATAGCCAAGACGATTATGGAACTGCTGTGCAATGAGTATCAGAGCTCCAACTGCATGCCGACCACCAATTTGGAGCGTCTGCTGCGTTTCTCCACACGTCTGTGCGCCTTCGCCCCGCTCAAAAGCTCCATGCTGTCCATTTTATCGGGCAAATTCTGGGAGCTCTTCCAATCGCTGTTATCGCTAAACGAATTCAACGAGGTGGTCTCCAATTGCCAGGAGGCGGTGCATCGCATACTAGACAGTTTTCTCGACTCGGGCATTTCTTTGATTTCACACAAATCCACAGCACAGCCGGCGCTCAATTTGTCTGCTGCATTGCCACCCAAGGAGCTAATTCCACGCGTCATCGATGCCGTGTTCAGTAATTTGGCCAGCGTGGAGGTGACACACGGCATTTCCATTCTGGCAGTGCGCAATCTAGTTATACTCACCGAGCACGAGTAGGTACCAAGTGCTTCTTGATAAATTTCAGAAAACTAACATATTTTTCTTTATTTCTAGCTTCACCTTCTATCACCTGGCGCAGCTGCTGAAGCAAAAGATTAGCGAGTTCCAGGCGTGGATGGAACGTGTTATACTTCACAACGAGACGGTCGAGTATAATGCAAACATTGAGTCGTTAATTTTGCTGTTGCGATCCTTGACACAAATTGAGCCACCGCCTGGAATGTCGGCCATGCCACAGCGTACGCTCAAATTGGGCCCCGTCGAGCTCGTCCAGCTACTTGAGTTTCAGGATGTGGAGCTAGACAAACCGCCAGTGCTGCAGCGCATACTCAAAGTGCTGGAGAAGCACAAAGCAGTGGCCAATGAGGCGGCGCTGTGTGATCTGAAACAGCTCATTGCACTGCAGGCAGCTAAGCAGGAGCAGGATACGCTCGCAGCAGCAGCGGCTGTTCCAATGGAAACGACTAACGAAAGCGATCCCAATGCCACTGGCAGCAGCAGCGGCAATGTCGTCGTCCCAGGTGCACTGAACGTGGAGCCATATCTGCCACAAGCGGAGGGCATTGTCACTCAGTACGAGGCACGTCCCATATTTACACGCTTCTGTGCGACGGCTGATAATGTGCAGCTGACGGCGCGTTACTGGCTGGAACCGTTGCCGATTGAGGTTATTGAGGATATGGATGAGCCGCTGTACGAGCGCATTGCCTGCGATTTGACGGATTTGGCCAATGTGTGCCTGAATCCCGATTTGAATCTCACGGGCGATTGCAAGCGTGTGCTGCATTTATCGGGCTCACCGCAATCCAATCGCGAGCTAACACCAACAGCACCCTGTTTCCGTACCCGACGCGTCGAGGTGGAGCCCGCCACAGGTCGGCCCGAAAAGAAAATGTTTGTGAGCGCAGTGCGTGGCCGAGGCTTTGCCAGGCCGCCACCCTCGCGCGGCGATCTATTCCGATCTAGGCCGCCAAACACTTCGCGACCGCCATCGTTGCATGTAGACGATTTCCTGGCGCTGGAGACGTGCGGCGCACAGCCCACGGGGCCAACGGGTTACAATAAAATACCCTCAATGCTGCGCGGCTCTCGTGTGGGTCGCAATCGCGGCTCACGCATCTCTGCGGCAGCTGCGTACAGGTAAACACTTTAAGATCTACTCGACATCGTGTCCTTAACTAATTATTTGTGTTTTTCGTTTACAGACAAAAGAAACTGTTACGCATTGGCTCACCCTCCAGCTGGTCGGAGTCGACGGGCCCGCCGTATCGCTCCGGCAATGCCGAAACGCATTTTAGCGGCGGCGACGCCCACTATACATCGCCACATTACAGTGGACGATCTCGTGGGCGTGGCTTGCGCTCAAGACCACCCTATTTGCGTTAAAATCAACGCCGCAAATATTTTTGTGTATATTCGATTTATACAATTTGTTCGTAACGTGATTAAATTTAAGTATTCTCTGTAACAACACAATTTAAGCGCACATCGTGCTCCTCCACGGGCAGCTCCTCGTCACTAACGATCTGTTCGTTAAGGGCCAGCGCCATAATGGTCGTCTTCTTGTGTGGATACTTCTCAGCGTGCTGCTTTAAATATTTATCGTAGTAGCCCATGCCGTGGCCCAGGCGATCACCTCTACGCGTGAACGCCACACCCGGCACAATGAAGAGATCAATGCCATGGCCTGTAAGAGTGGGTAAGTTTCTCCATAACTATAGCATATATATTTATTGCCTACCATTTGTCATGGCATCCTCGCGGTTTTCCTTAAAATCCGGCTGTTTAATGTTCCATTTGGTCAGTGGCAAACCCTCGTATTCCTGCATGTCCCGCAAACGTACCATTTTCATCTTTGTGCCCTGATAGCTGGGCACAAATACCATCTTTTCCAGCCTGAACATCTCACGGATTATCGCCGTGGTGTCCAGCTCGTCGCTGGTGCTCAAATAGATGCTAACGCGCTGCGCCTGACGAAATGCCTCATTCTGCAACACCTGTCAAGAATAGAAACAGATGTTGTTTACTTAGATCTTGAGATGATTTTGTATGTACCGACCCTTGAGGTCACAGCCTGGGACTGCTTCGCTATGACCTCGGGCGTTAGGCAGCTGAGGATCTCCTTCATGTGTTTCCTCAGCGCGACTTTCATGCCGTTCTGGATGGTAGCTGCCATGGTGCGCACACTTGTCCTAACCGGTAATAACTGTTTTCTGTTTACTGCCGTCTGCAGCCTCAATAGCTCTCTGTCTGTCGATTATCCGCTTATCAGTAAATGTGAGCGTTATCAGCTCTTCATGCTCTCTCCCAATTCGTAAACAATCGTCAGGTCGGCTCTTATGTATATAAAACTATATAGTATTATTTAACAATGTTAGCAGATAGCGCTAGACAAACATTAAATTGGGCTGCGCATTTGTGTAAAATGGCTTTTACTTAGAAAATTGCAAGCAATCTTTCTCAAATGGTTGCTTTGTATGTGTATTTACTGTAGCGGCTGGTAGGCTGGTACACACTTGCTGACAGCGCTCGTCGCCTTAAATTTAGCACTAAAAATGACAGCAGCTGTTGCAGCCAGTGCTGCCAATTCCGCTTGATTCCCGTCATATTTGAGGTTTTAAGAAGAAGATATTGCGGCAAATTTTGAAAACAGCGCGCATTCAAGCATTTTAAATTTTTTTCCTTTACTTATTTAAGATTTTTTCTCTTGATTTACTAAAGAAAAAACTATGCGAAATATTTGATATTTGGTCAACTATCGAAATACGTAAATTGACCATCTCTAAGTTTCGCAGATTTATTAATGTTTTACTCGAAAATTTCGACCTGAAATATATTTCTAATTTTCTGAGCTATAATGATATAGGGTTCGTAGAAAATATTTGAATACTTGAGATATATTATTAATAATAAAAATAATTTTTAAGGAAGGGATCGAATATAGTTAGTCTTTCTCTACGTGTAATATGTGAAGATATACATCCAATTGTTGTTGCTGACAGATAACCTTAATTTTTTTATGAGGCATTAGCTCAGTAAACAATTTGTGAATCTGACTAAAGTATCTTATCGTAGGTGATCCAGTAACAAAAGTTCTTTTAGTGTAACTTTGTTGCTTTGTAGTCGTTTTTCTATCAAACGATCAGCTCGTTCTATTTGTTCGGTTGTCAGCTCGTCCTTATAGCCATTCACCTTGCCGCTGCGTACAAAGCTAGAAGATAAATGATATAAATAAAAATCAACTATGTTAAGCATTTATTTCACAGGTTTTTTTTTGACCTACTTGTAAACAGTTTTAAGAGCGTTTTCATGTTTGACGTCAGCAAGTTCCCAGTTGTGATTTGTGGTCGGATTTTCTAAGAAAACAAAAGTACTACAGAAACGTTCCCATTTCCTCTTCAGTTGGTGACTTACTCTTCATTTCTTCGAACGACAGATGCTTAAGTAGGCGTTCCATTTGCTGCTCCGTTACAGTCTTGTCCAGAAATTGGCAGAGCTCCTCAATAACAGCTCGCAGATCGAGTTTCATGCGTTCGAAGCTGGTGTAGTATACCCAAGGCTCGTTACGCAGTTGATAGAACTCGGCTGCATGTTCGATGGATTCCAGTTTGATATTCTCGCCATCTAGACAGCCGTTGAAAAATTGTTCCAACGTGAGGCCATAGTTGAAGCCAATGGTAACTCCGTGATAATAACCTGAAACCCAGGCGTCTTTGGGATTTCGAAAGACATAAACCACTTTCGCCTTCTTCTGCCAGAGCTGAGCGGGCAACAAGGCGAGCGGCAGATGGGATTTGATTAGACGTGGCGACGGCAGCTCTTGTACGGGCTTTAGAGCTCTTTGCTCATCGGTGTGCATTACAAAATCATATCTAAGGCCAAGCGTTTTATATAGATTGCCTCGTTATGATCTACATACGTACTCTAGAAAGGGGGAGCGTAGTTCCAGGTGCTTGGACAATGCCGCTTCGAAATTGCAGTCATTTAGCAATAGCCAAAGTAATTCCTGCATCCAAGTTGTGCCGCTTTTGGGATTTGTAATCACCCAAACATCATCCTCCAATACCTCCATGTTGTGAATCATTTCTGGAAATGATTTAGCTGGACTGCGAAAATAAAGTTTTCGCTCGGTCCAGTTTTTGTCAATTAGATTGACTGGATAGCTCTTCGGGTTGATCCGCTCGTACTGCATTTCTAAGCTCTACTAACGCTCTATCTGGTTATATGTCGTTGATATGCTAGAGACCATGCATAACGAAGCAAAAAGAAGAGATTTCTTTGCTCTTAATAATTATAATTTTGTAAAACCGGCTCTTTGTGGCAGAAATGGCTCAGCTGTAATCAAAATGAATATAAATCTCTCTGCGTGCAAATATGATAGTAAAAAGAATGTGCTTGTCGAGTATGCTCGAATGGGGAATACCTATTATATGTATCTATAACATTTCTATACTCATGTACAAAGTCTTATGGACTTTCAGTTCACTTTTGTTGTGCTCTGTTATATTGTAATACCTAGTTTGATTAGTCCACTAATACTTATTGTATATATTCTAACCAAAAGAATTGCAGATAACTCTGATTGGGAATACGTGCAATAGCTTGCTCTTTTAAAAAGAACATGATTTATTATCAGTTTGATTGCGAATTTGAGCTCAATTGATAGCATTATAGATGAATATGCATGCGTACATATGAGAAGAAAATTTAATATAAAGCAGATTACAAAATAGTGAGAATCGGGTTTAAAAATCCAATCACTGTTCAACCAAGGCAGTTTTCACTGTATTCATATGTAAAGTGCAAGCTGATTGTAAAATGGCAGCTTCTCGCATTTTCTCATTAATAGTTGGAATTGTTTGTGCTTAAGCACACTCATATGCTTGTAAAGTACGAAACCATTTATTATTAACAAATACATATAGCTGTAGTATAAGCATACTGATGCTTGTATGCATATATCACATTAGCTTACAATCTATTCAATGTGATTAATCGAGGCGCGCTTACAACAGTGTCTTGGTAATTGCCTGTTCATTGTACTTGCTGTAAGTTGCAAAATCATCCATGTGTAATTTGTAGTCCCTGAGATTGACGTCGGACCAAAGATCAAATTCGCGTATCACGTCCGCCGTCATTTCGTCCTTGTGGCTGCCCACGACGCCGCGTCGCACAAATCTGTGTGGAGCAACACTTTTTAGACTATAGCAGCGATCTCCTAAGCATCCAAATGCATATGTGGCTTACCTGAACTCCTCCACTTCGCGGCCGGCGGCTGCTTTCATGCTCTCGAATTCCTTGGCATGATTGCAGGCGGGATTGTCGCGCATGCTCTCAAAGGAGAGATGCTTCTTCATTTGCTGCACCTGCTCAACGCTGACGGGACGCTCGAGGAAACGCGCCACATCTTCAATAACCTGGCCGAGCTGAGTCTTCATGCGCTCGTAGCTGGTGAAGTAGATGTGCGGCTCGTGGCGTAGCTGCCAGAAGTCGAGAACATGTGGCCAGCAGGGCGTAAAGTTCACATAGCCATCGATGAACGAATGCATGAAATCATCCTTTGTGCCTTGGTAGCCGACCATGCCGCGCCAATGATGAAAATATGAGATGGCCGCATCCTTGGGATTGCGATACACATAGATGATCTTCGGCTTTTTGGTCCATATCTGGCGGGGCAGCAGCCAGGCGGGCAAATGGGATTTGATTAGGCGTGGCGAGCTCAAGGCGTTGGCCGCCTCGATTGTGTCATGCGGCACGTTCGGCACAACTCCGTTGAATCTATGTATGCCGAGACACATAGCTTAATATAATGTAAATAGGGCTAATTCAACGCTTGGGCTTACTCCAAAAATGGGGAACGTATGGTTAGGTCCACGCTCTTGGCCGTCTCAAAGTCGCACCGATTGAGCACCAGCCAAGTCAGCTCCTGCATCCAGGTGGTGCCGCACTTTGGCAACGTTACAATCCACACATCATCCTCGCGCACCTCGAAGTCATGCACGCGATCCAGCACGGGCTGAAAGGTGTCGGCCAAACGGCAGAAACGCTGCTCCCAGTTGCCCACCACGGGCACGGCTGGCTCTCGAGTGGCATAGATCGAAGAGTAGCCGCCGCTGATGGCCAGCTTATCGATTTGCTCGAAGGGCACGCTTCTCGCAAAGAAACTCGATTCGGGCATAATTTTTTTGTATTTTTTGGGTTAGCTGACAGACGCTCAAGCTATACTTGTATTTTGATCGCTCTGATGGATCGAAGTCAACCGTACGGCTCTGCAGTTGGCGCCGCATTAAACGCTGCTACACAGTCAGCGAGAAATCAGAGGCAGAATTTCTCGCCCTACGCTCAGCTCCAGAGATGAGCGCGTGAATTCAAGGGAAGTGAAGTGAAGTGAACGTGATTCATAACTTATCAAATATGGAAAGCGCGAACCTAAATGCAGCCTGGGCTCGTTCGACTTATTTATTCTTCATTTTATTATCTTAGTTTTGGTAAAAATATCAAAGAAGCATATAAAAGGGTTCAGGATTACGGCTTTGTTGTCTGAAGGTTGACCAAACAAGCAGGCAGGTCGCTGGCTCAAATCCAGCAGCAAATTGTAATCGAACATAAAAACACGTGAATAACGATGAACGTAAAGTGATCCACAGTTTGCCTCATCTCCATCTACATAACCATATATGTTGCTGTATTATATAATGCTCGCAACGGCACCAGAAACTTGTAAACAGACTCGTTTTGTCTCATCTTCGGTTTGATATTTCGAAAACGCATTTAATGATCGGGTGCTGTAAGACTTTCTTTACGGACGGCCTTTGTGGCTGGGCATGCTCTTATTGAAGCCAGCCGTAAAAGAAAGTTGTTGGTGCTAACGACTCATTGTCAACATTTTTTTTGGTTTGTTTGTTTACCCTGTGTTCACGAAGGTGAAATTATGCGTATATCTTTGGGCAGCCATTTGGCCCAAAAGAATCGAATTGTCAGGCCGTAAGCAGGTTGTTTAAATGCAGATCGCAGGCGCAACTCTTGACGCAAATGTAAAGCCAATTCGCTTTATTCCACAGCGCAGAGCAGAGACTTGCATACCCAACGTATACGTGTTAAAATGTGAATAACATTTGGCAAGAATTCGAATTTATTCTAATTTGTGACCTTGGCCAAAATGTAAATTTCACTTTCTCACACATCTCTATTTTTGAGATTTGGTTTGTTTTCCAATTTGAAATGTATGCAAAGTTTTTGTATTATGTATATGCGTTTTTTATTCGCGTTTTGTTTTGTTGTTTGTTTTTGTTTTTACAATAAATTTGACTAAATCTTAACATTTATAATCCTTAACCTGCAAGGAGCAAACAGACGTAGTAACAAATATATTTCAGTATGTAGTTGTATAAAGATTTATCGTGTTGTTCAAGAAACAAACAGTATCTAAGAATTTAGTATTAGAAATTTCCACACATTTGTTTAAAGAGCTCATATTTAAAAAATAATTCTTTCTTTTTTTTTTTTTTTTGCTTTGAAATTGTAAATACTTAAGATGTGTGCGTGTCCTTAACACATACACATATATTTAAAACATACACACACACACACACACATATTAACAACAATAAATATATGCATATATGTATTCGTATATTTGTATTTGCGTTCAGTTGAAAGGTGTGCGCACGTGTGTGTGTGTGTGTGTGTGTATATATGTAGGGGTGTGTACAAGTTCGACAGGTAAATGGGGCTCTGAAATCAAGCCAGAATCCTGGAGTTTATGTGGTTTACTTGTGTGTGTATAAACTGTATCAAAAATGTCAACGTTAGATATATGTCCAAAAACAGATACAAATTACAGTGTGTTTGAATGATGTTGATGTTGTGTGTCACACACACGTACACGCACGCACACGCACATACATACATACATATATAATAATATATAAATATATTTTTTGAATATGCTTATATGTTCGTAAAATTTGTATAAATTGTATACATATATATAGTTCATACTTATTAATTTGCCTTTGCTTTGATGCATAGGTATGCAAAACAAATTTATGTATATATATATATATCTATATATGTATATGTGTATATATAATATTTTTTTGTTTTTTGATTCTTTTTGTTTTTTTTTTTTTTTTTTTAACAAGAACATTAAATCGATTCGTATTAATTTACTTGTTATATATAATATGTAATTTGTTCAGTCAATTAGATAAAAAAGATTTCAAAAAGGATTCACTTAATCATAAATTGTTTGCATTTTGTTTGTTGCTTTTATGCATCAAAAGTAAACATAGTAAATATTAGATATTAGATAGAAGGTAGATAGTAAGGGGCCCCATAGAATTTCGCACGTTACATATGTGGATTCGAATTGTTGTTGCTTTTTTGTATTTTTGCTAATCAATTTAGTTGTTGTACATTAGTAGAAATAGATATTGATGTAATTCCAGCAATAGTTCGTTTGCTATGCACATCATTTGCTGTCCCAGCTAATCCATGCAAAGACCTAACACACATACAAACACACACACACACACACGCACACACACACACACACACACACAGAGTCATCTAGCTATGGCCTTGCAATTTATCTTAATTTAAAAGTAGTTGGACACTTGTATTAAACAGAGATTGTCTTCGTGTGTGAGGGGCTGCTGGTGACCGAAGGTGGGAGAGGGCAACACGCACGACCTATCTACTAGTATGTGTGTGTTTGTGCAATGGCCGCGACGCCATTTTGTTGGTTATACCGTGCTGTTATACCGTTTTAGGTACCCTAGAGCGCGCGCCATATTGTTCGTTGGACAATATGCGTCTATGTTTGCTATTTTTCTTGTATTTGCATGTAGATTTGTATTTATTTATATACTTATATATATATATAAATGTTTTAACACACACGCACACACATTGAATAGGGCACACAGATATACATATACACACAAATTTTGCTTTCTTTTTTGTGATGTTACTTAAATATTAAATTTTGAGTCCAGCCCAATAATTTTTTTTGTTTTGTTTATCTTTGCTTTCTTTTTGTTTTGTTTTGTTTTGCTCTTCAAACATTTGCCACAGTTTTGTATTTGTTTGTTTTGTTGTTTTTTTTTCTTGTGTGTCTGTGCTGGAGAAATCTTTGTTTGTTTTGGCACCATTTCTTGTGGCCAGCTCGCAATAAGGATTAAGAATCCACCTATACACACACACACACACACACAGAGCTGTTTGGGAAGCGTTATTTAGTCGAGATATGTGTGCAACAAGCGACAACAGCAAGAACGAAACCTATGCCGAGAGAGTGCGACGAAAGCCACGTCTCTGGGCTCGGATTCGCCTGCACTAGAGCATATCCTCCATTTCGTTCTCGCCAATTGTGGATGTGGCAGGCGCCTGGGCCGGCAGCGGCTTAAGTAGACCCGAGAATATTCTCCGAAAAGCCGTATGCTATTTAGAATTGGACGTCTTATTGCCGACAGGCGGCTGCTTGGCCATAATATCGGCAAGGGTATTAACGCCCTGCTCATCATATTTCTTCCACTGTGAGTAGTTGATCTGCATGCACGTGATCAGCTGAGGCATGTCCAGAAAACCTGCATGAAATACAAATTGGTTTACTTTAATTGATCGAATGTGAGAGATGAGCACACTCACCGTCCCAGGCATGCATCATATCCTGTATTATATATTCGATGAAGCCAATCTGGCTCTTTGGTATGCTGCAGGTGGCACGATCGAACATGGGCATCACAATGGGCATGTGCCGTTGCTTCTCCTCGTCCGTCTGCATAAAGTACTCCTCGGCAATGCGCCGCGCCCACTCGATGCAGTACTGCATTGGACGCGCTGGATTGCTCACATCGGCCACCTTGATGAGCATGCGACGCATGAGTATAGATGTCTCCTCCTCCGACTGCACAAGCTGCATTAAAGGCAAATCGGTTAGGGATATTGTCAGATTCCCCATTGCTCAAACATCTTACCTCACGCGGCTCAACCTCGCTGCCAAAGACGCTCACAAACTTGGCCAAGTGCTCAAAGTGACGCGTCATTTCCGTGGCCAGTATCATATCGATAATTGTGCTGCGTGCCGATTTGTACGTCTCCTTGTCCAAGTTCTTGAAAATGTTGATCTTGTCGTCGCCTGCAGGCAGTCCATTTGTCAGCGGAAGGGTTTCAAGCTAAGCTGAACGTGCACTTACCCAGGGTCAGCTTGAAAGTGATTGCCGCATGATGGGACTCCAGCACCGTCAGATCGTTATACAATATGGCCAAGGGATTGTTTGAGTTGCATAGAAAAGCGGAGGAGCGACCAGGATGATCGACATCGTGCGCCGCTGCCGCAATCAAGGCCGTGGCCTCATCCATGCGATCCATTACCATGTCCTTGTTTGCCAGCTGTGTGATAAAAGCACCCGTTGCCTGCAAATAGATGTTACTTATAAAAGAGTGAAATCTTATAGAATTCATAGGACACGCACCTGCATGACGTCCGCTGCGTGTGTGCTATTGTGATATGTGTTGCTCTTGTGATAGTGCGCCTCGATGACGGCCAGCCAGGCTTTGCAGACGTTCTCATCAATGTTCAGTGTGGCAAAGACATCAAAGCGCCGGAACATTTCCATGCCCAAGTACAGCAGCGGATGGTAGTCGGTGATCTCTTCCAATTTGAAAATATCAAAGTCCCAGCTAAGAGATTCTTCAAGTAGTTCCATGATAATGGGATTGGCCTGCGAGTGTTAGTTTGGTTTATTAAAGTTTGCAAAACTATTTATAAACTAAATATTTAACTATTGTCGCTAGTCTTGTAAACAAAGCTGTGAACCCAACAGAAATGTTCGCTATTCCGGTTCTCGGCATGAACTTTTTAACTTGCTTATAGGCTTGATTTGAGCCCTGTTCTATGTGATTCTCATACATTTTGTAATTCTCTGTTGACTATTCAGATATTTGTATTTCTTGATTCACTTTACTTTTTCAATTTCACTAAACTGGAATTATTTGGGCCAAACCATCCTCTTTTCTCTTAGTCAGCTTATGAAATAAGGGGTTCGCTACTCTAACCGGTTCGATTTGAAATCAGTTTGCAGGCTTACTTGAAAGTTAATTTTTCAAGTATCTGAAAATTCGCTAAGTAAAATTAAATTAATTCCGCTTACAACAGTGTATTAATAGACAAATCGTTAAAATTACCTTCATCTTGGCGGGCACAATTGTGGCCGCGCGTGTCGAGTTGCCAGTGCGGATGATGGAGTCGTTGGAGCTGCGTCGCGACGAGTAGACACTGGGGCCCTAAAATGGAAAGAATTTTATAAGAGAGTGCCTTGCCAAGGCGGGCGATGCACATACCGTCAAAAGGGCGCCAATGAGATCGGTGGCTATTGGATCATCGGTGCGTATCTCTTTCATTTGTGGACTGTAGAGTCCTTCGCGCTTAAGGAACTCCAAGACTTTGTCTATGAGGCGTGCCTCGTCAGCTGAACAATTCTCCTGTACTTGTGATAGTAAATTGATTATCTAAAGTGCGAGTGCGCAGTTTGTGTGTTGTTTGATTGTTTGAACAGAGTTTGTTGATTGATTTGTTTGATTGTTTTGTTTTGTTGCAAGCGACGCGCAGCGAGCAAAACGAACGAGCGAGCGAGCGAACGTGCGAGCGAATGGAACCAGTTCATATGTACAATAATGTTGGAATTGTTATTTGTTTGTTTTTTTTTTTTTTTTTTTTTTTTTTTTTGATTTGTTCAAGTACACAGAAAACATAAAAGTAAAAGAGAACATAACAAATATAAGAGATAAAAAAGAGAATAAATGTAAAAACAATAGTTTTAGTTGTGCAATTTGGGTATGTTGTAGTCTGTTATTGATTCGGTATTGACTCAGTATTGGATTAGTAGCGTTAGTTCAAATTCAAATATTTGCCAGAAATGAGCCATTAGAGACGGATGATTGAGTATGCCTTGTCATGGTCAGGACATCCACACCTGTTGGCTCAATTTGTGTTGTGATTTTTAAAGCAACTAAGATACAAATTTTCTGGGGTGACACTTTTCGTGTACTGTTATACAGATGGTGTACAATTGTTATACAACAGGTATACAACTGTTATACAAATCAACTAACCTCATTTTGCGTTCAAAATCCCACATATTTCTTGACTAAAACTATTTCTTACTGTTATACAGCTAACCTTAGAATATTAAGTTTAAGATCAACTTGATGTATTTAATGTTTGAAACTTAGTTAGCTATATTATTTTACAGCTGTTATACAAGTATACTAGTCTATTTCTCGACTGGACCTTTAATCTATTTTAGAGTTGAGTTTCTGTTTCGTAAACAAAGTGATTCGTATTACTCTCCTTTACTCTACCTTTATTTAAAGCAACCTTTTTCACATTCTCTGAATAAGAACCTGCTAATTAATTAGAGAAGTGATTTTGATCAATTCAGTACAGCTCTGACGGTGTCAAAGAGGACTCTGTCAGTATCTGTATCAGTGTGTGTGAGTGTGTGTGTGTGTGTGCACGGTATTTGATGTGCATGGTTGTGGGTGTTGACAGTTGCTACTGATACTACAGTGCTAGTGTCTACATGGCAGGACATTATGACACACACACACACACACACACACACACAGGCACACAAGCACGCACACATACACACACACACACACCACACACACATACACGCGTACGAACCGCACACCACACACACCACGGACACGGACGATAATTTAGTATTTGCAACATGGGCACAGAAAGCATTCGTAGGTTGTCAGATGTGGGAGAGGTCAACAGTTTTAGTCAAAACCAATTGGGCGTACAAAATGGAGTCATACTTTGGTGATGGGCGCCTCCAGGGGCAGCGACGTCAGCTTGGCCAGGCTGGTGCGACGCAGTCCGTCCGACGCAATGGAGCGCACATCGAAGCTGCAGCGACGCACCGAGTGCAGAGAGCCGCGCGGCGCCTCCTTTGGCTGCGGCAACGTGGCAATGAAGTCCATACCGCCGCCGGGTATATCAAAGTTGAAAATCAGATGGGTGGGTGCACTGCCGATGGACAGAGAGCGAGAGAGATTGAGAGATACAGATTAAAGAGATTATAAGTCTGAGAAGATTGGAAGACTGCACTTACCTGCCAATGCAGGCCACGGGCACGACACGCACGTGCATGGGTATGCCCTCTTGATTCTTGCGGCGGACCGTCAGTATGCCATCAAACTCCTTGATGCTCTTGCCCTGCTCACTGATGGTGGACAGGTCCGAGACGAAGATGTCGGCTAATGGCTTGCTAATTATTTCATCCTGTTGTGGGTCGGGGCATGGGAATAGAGAAATCTCATTAATGCCCGCAATTGCACGTCGGTGGCACGTCGGATGAGTCACTCACCAGCCGCATGTTGAGCAGCCGTTCTGTGGCCCGGTTGGCATACTGTATGCGCAGCACGTCGTCCGTGATGAGCACCACCTCCTTCAGCCGGTGCAGGGCCGTGTATAGTGCCTGTGGGTAGGGTGCGGCAGTGGAGCGCAAGAGCAAGAGGCAGGCTTGTGGTTTACATTTACAATTTGATTAAAGCGCCAGCAACGTGGTGGTCGCCACTTGCGCCATTTAATTGAATTAATGCAACCGGGACAGCTGCAGCCTGTAGAGCTGGCCCCCGGGCAGAGCATTAACTCGATTGCGTATTGCGTTTACCTGTTGAGTGGACATAACATTATGCGGCCTTATGATCGAGTGCAGAATCTGCTTTAGTTCCACGCTGCACATTGCCAGGTTGGTCGTCTCGGCTATGCACTGTGTCAGGTAGCAGGAGCAGGAACAGGAACAGGAGCAGGAGCAGGAACGGTAGTAGGAGGCGTAGTGAGTGCAAAAGAAACTTGTTTCAATGCGAACTTAAGACGTGAGCCATTTAATTGGTAACTTACTCTATTAACGCCAGCGTCCAATAGAGCAATTAGCGCATCATCTTTTTCAAAGAAACTAAAAGAAGACATTAAACAGGTGGCTCCAGTTGGATCAAGTTAATATGAACCTACCTCTTCTTGCAGACGGCAATTATTGTCGTTAAATGATGTCCATGTGTGTGACGTATTGTTCTAGTGGGCAGTGGGAAATGGGAAATGGGAGATGGCAAATCAATTTAAGTGATAAGTTTTAGTAAAGTTTTTCGCTGCTGTTGCTGTTGGGACATCACGTATACGCAACGTTGGCCAGCACTCACCTTGCAATGTGCTCGGCATCGAGACCTTTTGTGGAGCGCGCATCAATTATAATTAGATGATAGCATTGCGCTGTGGCATATGACTTGTGCAGGGTTTCGAGGGCTTCCTCCTTGGATTTAACCAGCGTTGCGTCCAATTGATGGCGCTGGCAGGCCAAGGTGACCACCTCGCAGATGCTATCCGATTTGTGAAAAACTAAAAGCGCCTGCGGGTGAATTGACATTGGGATTGGGCATTAGTCAAATTGGACTGGAAAGCGAAAGGGCGAGCGAGCGACTGGGCTGGCTGGTTGGCACGTGTCAGCTTACCTTAAGTTGAGGATTCGGTGGTAGCACGGTTGGATATTTCAAGTCCATGAGATTTCGCTGCAACACAAGTCAAAAACAGGTGAGCAAGAGGTGAGCAGGTGAAGCAACGTGTAAAATTTAATAAAAATCTACAGCGCTGGCTTTGCCATCAAAATAAGAGGGCTTAACTCGGCTTCTGTCTGTGTCGTGTCAGTTTACGAGTGTGCGTGTGTGTGCGTGTGCGTATGCATGTATATCTGTGTGTGTTTCTATGTGTGCCAGTGTGTGTGTGTGTGTGTGTGTGTTTGTCTCGCACAATATGCGTAAGGTGTATGTGTCGCTAAAATGATGATAAATTAAAATAAAATTGCATGTGCCCGACGGAAAGTTGCCGCATTGGTGACTTGGTCTGCAGATTTATTATGCTCGTATGAATAAATGCGATATGTGAAAATCAGGGATTTAAAACACACACACACAAAGACAGACACACAGATACGTTGGGATGAAATACAACTGCGTAGCTCAGTAATGAAAACACATGTTGACATCAAAAGGAACCAAATTCAAAACTATTTATAACCATCTTTTGGATATACAACTGCCTTTCGTTGATTTAAAAATCGATATTCATAAATTGCGCATAATCAAACACTGAGAATAACTTTGGATTTAGCAGGCCACCTTTAAGTAATTCATTTTGCCTTGCAAAAACAATTTTGTGAAAAAGTAATTTCTTGCAATTTACTTTTTAAATTAACTTCCAGCTAAATTGGCAACATTATTGATTCTGGAGTTTTTCCACATGGAGTTTTTCACAAACAACCATTGATTGGGGGAATGTATTTTCCATAATTTATTTTCACTAAATATGGAAAAACAATAAGTGAAGTTTTTCTCACATTTCTTTTAAGTAGCTCCTGAATGTGTGAACTAAGGAAGTGAAGTGAAGTTCGTGGGGAGCGGAAATGGGTGTGTGAATATTATTTCTGGCAGGTTCTTTGCTTATTGTAGAACTTTAATTGAAGTAAGCGAATATATATTTAGGGTATGTAATAACTAGGGTCGATATCTGGACAAATAGTTAGATAGATAGATAGACGAACAGTTGCACAAAACCAATATGCCCTGTTTTTGATGCAAAAATTTGCTGTTTCATTGTAGAGAAATGCTTTTCGATTAATTTACAAATTACCTACTGAAGAACATTATTATACAATTTTTGATTAATGTTCAATTATTTGTTAATTAATTGCTGAAACTTGTTTGAATATCATGAATTCTTGGCTGAAACGTGCATCGACATGCTCTTAAGCCTCAGGTGAAGTGAAATCGAAATAAATCTCAACTTAGAGATGTAATTGTAGAATTTCCTTTAGTTTTGTAGACTTTCAAAATACCTATGTAGGGTTATTTTCCAAAAAATAAGCAACTGTCATATTAATAGAACTCATATGAATATGCCTTATATATAAATTTATATGAATCAATGTCGGCAATTGCCCGGAGCGTCAAAGCTTTTGATGATTTCCGGAATTGGTAACATCAATCAATTACGTTTTTGTTAATTTGAATCATGGACAAAGTCGAAATCGCGCGCTGATAATGGCAATGACAATTCTAAGGGTTCTCTTTGTTGCGCTGGCGAGCTATCTTTGGTGGGGCTATCAGTTGATAAATAAAAGAGTCGACAATTTTCTTGCTACTTATGGAGCCTGCCAGGCTGTCCCAATTACAATAATGCCTGTCAGCCAAATACCTGAAATGTTTTAAACTCATCCTCTTCGCTCTGAGGCGACGGCTTCTTGCCGTTGCCCACCCAAAGACGCAGCTTGGGACCCTTGTGCAGACGCCGCTCGTACAGGCTGTGGCACTGCCGATCAAATCCGCAACTCTTGGAACGTAGCGGCACCCCATCCTTGTCCTCCTGTTGCTGTAGTGCTGTTAGCTTGGTTCTATCTTCCAGCGTGAGGTTGTTCAGCAGCAGTGCCTGGGTGTCCAGATTGCGTATGGCCTCGACTATTTCCGGCTGCATGATACGTCCGACTCCGCTGCCAGCGCCAACTGTGCTGCTGCCGCCGCCGCCGCCGACGCTGCTGCTGTTGCTGCTGCCACCGAAGGCCATGCTCAATGACCTTGTATTACGGAGCAATGGCGTCATTATATCCCTGCCCTCGGCCGCCTCATTTGCCTCGTACTCCAATTCCATTTGCTCGGGCGTCTTGCTGGAGTTGCCTGGCAACGGCACGGGCACTGGCAACGGCACGGCCCCTGGAACTACGCCAGCTACCTTCATTTCCGAGGTCGCATTTGTTTCAAGCACTGGACGGATGCTGCCATTTGACGCTGTTGTGCGGCTATTGCGGCTGTTGTTGCTCTGCTCCAAATCCGAGCTATTAGGCATAGTTGTGCTGACAGCGCTTATCAGCCGGCTCTTATCGACGTCATCAGCACACGATGTTGTTGAAGTCGTCGCCGTCGTCGTCGCCGTCGTCGCCGTCGTCGTTGTCGTTGTCGTCGACGCTATGGCTGGTGCCCGTTGCAGCTTTTTATTGTCATTATCGAGCTGTTGATCAGTAGTCGTCGTCACGGTGCTTGTTGTTGTTGTACTGGTTGATTTACTTGCTGCTGTTGCTTTCGCAATGATATAGCGTTCCGTATCGGCGTCCGTCTCCAACTCATTTGAATGGGCGGCCGCGGCTCTCGCTGACGACGACGACGACGACGACGACGACGATGATTTGGTGCGAAAAATTTTTGGCAAACAATTGCGCATTCTGCTAATTATACAATAACACTCACACCGCTAAGCTACTTCACAATATCAATATCAACAACAACAAAAGAACACTTGACTCGCTTCTCAAACTCAATGCTCAACAAAATGTCCTTCTATGCGAGCAGCGGCAACAATTGCAGAGCGCTTGCGTAAGCAGCCACAGCGGAGCACATATTAAAAAGCCGACAGAAAAAAAAAAACCAACGAAACAAAATATTGATTTGATATGAAAAGATTTCCACTGATCAAATTGAGATTTAATTAATCCAGTCGAACGAGTCTGCTCGTATATGGGACACTGGCGGAGTCGTGAGCTAGGTCTGCTTAGTGTCTAAAAATTGAATATTTCACTGGTTTTGCGGTCGAAACGCGACTGACTGACTGAGTCAATTGGCTCGACAGTGGGGCGACAGCTACGAGTAGCTGGCAATGCGGCGGGTTAATCTATTTCTTTACTTTTTGATTTCCCACCTTCAATGTTAATTGATTTGATTTCTCTGGCGGCACATTGTTTATGTGCGACACACACAAGCACACACACACACACACACGCACACCTGAGCGTTGTGCTCTTTTTTACATACACACACACACACACACTCATTCGGACGCGCGCACGTTCAGTTCTCAGTAAGTGTAAATGAGCGGCTATTTAAAGAAGCGCAGCTGAGCAAAATGTAAAGCAAAAAAGCACAAAAAAACAATTCAAAGAAAAAGGCATGAAAAAACTTTGGCGAGAGCTTCCATCATATAACGCGCTGTGATAAGATATCTTATCAAAGACGTAACACATGTGCGTTGCGCTCGACAAAATGCCCAACCGAAAGCGATGGCCCGGGGCCAGGCGAAACAAAGGTGGCCGAAAAAAAGAAAATGAATAAGAAACAAATGCGTAATCAGCATCACAGATAAATGCGCTCACCTGATACACGTCCATTGACTCATCCTCGGGCGTCAGTGCCAGCGCCAGCGAGGATTTGCGGTGACCAGGACGGCCACTGCCGCCGCCGCCACCGGAGGAGCTGGTGCCCGAAGTGCCGGTGCCTGTAAAGACAGCAAAGACAAACAATAAATGCCAAACGCTTCAAACAGGGTCCAATAAAAGTTTGGCGCTGAAAAGCATGCTACATTTTTGTGTGTGCGACGGCAAATGTGTTGCCTACTTTTAGATCGCCGCACGCACACACGCACAGCCAAAGAGATAGACTGAGAGAGCGAGTGAGAGAGAGAGAGAGAGAGAGGGAGCGCTAGAGAGGACAGCAGACGCAGGCCTCCCATTCACATCTTCCGTCGTCTAGTCGCACGTTTTATTTAATTATAAGCGTTGGCATTTCAAAAAACACTTTATAACAGGCACACGCACGTTTAGTCCACACCCCCCACACGCCCACACACCCACAGCAGGTCCCACATACCGCCCCACGGTCATATTAAGACAATCCGCTTACCCACAAGCAGCTCGGACTCGGAGGCCGGACGCGTTAATGAAGCTCTGCTTGTCATAGTTGTTCGTGTTGTTGTTGTTGCTGCTGCTGCTGCTGCTGCTGCTGCTGCTGTTGATGCTGTTGGTGTTGTTGGTGTTGTTGTTGTTATAGCTGGTGCTGTGGGTGTTGTTGCTGCTGCTGTTGTTGTTGTTGTTCCTGCTTCTGCCTCAACGGCGTGCATTTGTCTGGCCGCCCTGCCCATCATTAGTGCGGCCGCACCCGCACTCGCAGCCGCCCCCACGCCCGCACCCACACAATTGCAATCGCTCTCAACGCCTTCCTCGCTCATGTGGGCCGACGACGATGTCCCGGACAGATTCGCTGGCTGGCTAGATATAATCATGGCGCGGCTTTTAGTTGTTGCCTTTGCCGATGCCGTGGCCGTGCGTTGTTTGTCTTTTCTTTACTTTTTTCTTTATTATTGTTTTTGTTGTTGTTTGTTTTTTCTTCTTGGTATTTTCCGTTTTTTTTATTATTTCGCTGACTTTGCAAATTAACTACAAATATTCAACATAATTATCGCTTTTGATTATTTTCGTGGCACTATGTTAATTTGTCATTTATTTTGTTGCTGTTGTAGCTGGCCCAGCTGCTCCGGCTACCCGGCTGCCCCGGCTGCCCGGCTGTTTATCTGGCTGTGCTGGCATTGATTTCAAACAATTAGTGCGTAATGATAACCTGCTCCACATGCATAACTGTGTGTGCTTGAGAGAGTATCTATGAGTATTTATGAACAAAAATAGCCCTGAAACATAAACATGCGGAACTGAGCTGCTAGTACCCTACTCATATCATTATATATATATATACATATATTATATATTATATATATAATTAAGTTTTACACGTTAGGTTACTATAAAAAAATATATTTCAATTTATTATTTTCACTTAACGGCTACTTTTGTTGAGTACATTCAGATTTGCTTCCCGAATATGAACTGATTTATCTAACTGTTGCGGTCGCTTAGCAAACTTCGCTTTGAGAGAGTTTGAGTCAAAATTGAGTGAAGTTTGAGCTGCGTCAGCAATTATGCGTGGGATAGTACTCTGATGGGAACATTGACAGTGGCGTGATATTTAGGGTGAATTGTTTATGTCTACCAAAAGGGGGACAGTTTGATCTTGACCAATGTCGATGTTATCACCAGGCTCTTTGTTTACAATATTAGAAATGTTTATAATTGTGCTTATGCTTATGTGCTAAGTTATGTTAAAGGGTGGGTGCGACTATGGATATGTCACTCCCCCAACCATTAGAAAAGTGCCTGTCCTCAGGTGTTTAAGTTTGGATATAGTGTAACATTTTCTTCTTTTACAATTGGTATATCTCCTATTATTGTAGGTGTTTCTTCTACTTTGGGTTTTTTATATTTTATAATTAATTTCTTAGGTATGCTTTTGAACTTATATGTCAAATACAGTGTTAAACTTATTAATATGATTACAAATATGGTTATTGTAATTATCTGGAATACATTGTTAAATTTTGTATGTGCATTTATAATTTGTTTCGTTTGTACAAACGAAAGTGGTTCTAATTTTATAACATCATTGCTTACGTAAATGCTTTGAGTATAATCTAACATATTGTTTGAAATTGAAATTTCATTAATTTGCAATGAACAATTAAAGATTTTTATTATATTGTTTCCTTCTATTGTTATTTCGTTATTTATACAATTATGGTTTAATATAGTTTTTGGTAAATTCCAAGTTAAAATTATATTTGGTTCTATGTAGTTGATTTGAAAATTTTGCAAAATTTTAGTATAACTACATTCTGATGTTATTTGGTTTAAAATTCCTGTTAAACATTCATTATTAATTAATTTTTTTGTTTCTCTGCTATAAACTTTTTTATCTTGGGTAAAATATTTTTCATGAGCTATTTCTGTCAAAATATTATTATTTTCATCCGGGTATGGAATTATTTCGAATACCGGGCTTTTTATTATTTCTCGAGGAATATGGGATATTATCAGTATTTCGTTTGTATCTGATTTAAACCAAGTGGAAGTTTTTGTATTCAACAATTTCTCAGAATTAACATGCAACAAATAGTCATGTTTTAGTAATTTTGGGTTAAAAATTCCTAATCTTGTGAGCTGCATTCCCATCTCAATGTCTTTTATATATTCTGTAAAGTGTTGTAAGTTAAATATAAGGATATCTAATTTCTTTCCTTTTTGTTTCTCTTGATCTAGTTCGTTCATGATTTCTATTCCTTTGTTTATAGCTTCTATTATGTAATTTAATTCGTTAACCTGAACGCTGTTTTCTGCTAAGTTGCTTATTTTTTGTTCAATTTCTGCTTTGTCTTCTTGATCTAATGTTCCAAATAAGTATTTATATGCTGTTCCTACTATGTTAACTAAACCTCTTTTGCTGCGTTTGGCTATTTTTAAGCCGTTTATTTCTCTGTTTAATTTTTCTACTAGGTATTCGATTTGTATAAGGTTATTGAATTCTTTACTTTGTTCAATTAAATTGTTAAAAGTTTCTTCGGTTTTTGTTATATTAACCGTTAAACAGTGGAATTCGTAATCTGTCGGAATGTCTATGGTTCCTGTTTTAAATATGAGATATCCGTTATGGGCTTTGATAGGATTAATTTCAATACTCTGTGCATTTATATAGTTTACAGTTATTGATAGTAATATTATAATAATTAATTTAAGCTGGTGCTTGTATGTTTTGATCGCTGTCTGTTGTTGACCTGTAATTGTTATATTTGCTTTGATTAGTCTTCTTTTTCTTTTTGAATTTGGTTTTGTAATGTGTTATTTTCCTGCCTCTGTTAGTTTCCTCAAAATGTTTGTCGTCGATTTGTCTTAGTTCTCCTGTTTTCTTGAACGGGGTTGTCGTCTTTGATTTAACTAACGGTGAGTGTTTGTATCTAGTGTCAATTTCATAATTTGTTCGTTTTTTGTTGAGATTATTTATTAGTTTTTCTTTATTAGCTTGAGTGTCATACTCTGGTGTACCTGCATATATGAATATGTCCGCTGGTGTTCTGTTAGTCGTTTTGTGCTTTGTTTTATGATTGTACGTGTAGAGTATAGTTTCAAATTTTGTAAGTTTATTTTCGACGTCTGAGTCGCTGTTAATGATTCTTAGTTTTTCGTTAACTGTCTTATGAAATCGTTCTACGTCGGATATACCGTTTTTACTAGTGGTTATATTAATATTTACTGCTTCTGATTTTAGCCATAATTGTAAAGCTGTGCACATAAAAGCTGAGTCTTTGTCTGCCTTTATTTCGATGGGTTTACCCATTTGGTTGAACACTTGTAATATAGCTCGTTTGGTTTCTAGCCAGTCTCTACTTTTTATTTCTATTAATGATGCAAATTTTGAATAGATATCAATGCAAGATAAAAATTGTTTATCTCCTACTATGTAAAAATCCATTACATATTTTTCTCGGATATTAGCGATTTCCGGAGTTATTTCGAAAGTTAATTTTGTATCTCTGTGTTCTGTTTTTGCGATGTTGCAAATCTCACATTCATTTATTAGATTTTGAATTAGATTTTGATAATCTGGGAAATAGTGGGTTTCTTTGAACCAATTGATAGTTTTTTCAATTCCTGGATGTAATAATTCTTTGTGCTTTTTTAATATTAATTCTTTGAATTCTGCGTATGTTTGAAGGTCTATTAATTTTGTACTAGTTTTCATTGCCTTTGTTGAATTATTCGGACTTATTATTTCTAAGTAGGCTTCTTGAAAAATTGGAAAATCTGCTTCGTTGTGGAAGTATAGCACACTTTTCTTTGTGCATAAGTATTCTTTTATTAATTCTTTGGCATGCGTATTAGTCATGTCTTTGTACGTAATTTTTATGTTGGTTTTGTGAAAGTAATTCGTAACTTTTGTTTCGTTCTCGGTTCCTTTTTCAAATTCTATTTGTCGATTATAATAATTAAGTGGTCTTTCTGTGATTTGTAAATGGTTACTGTTGTCTTCTTGAGCACTATGTATTGTTGCTCTTGTGCTAATTGTATCTTCGCCTAAGAAGTTTTCGTTTAATTGAATTCTGGACAGAGCATCTGCCACATAATTTTCTTTTCCTGGGACGTATTTAATTTGGAAATCAAACTCATTTAGCTTGATCTTCCACCTTTGTAATTTCATGTTAGGTTCTTTCATATTATTTAACCAGACGAGTGGTCTGTGATCACTAAGGATTTGAAATTGTCGACCAAAGAGATAGGACCTAAAGTATTTAGTGGCCCAAACGATTGCTAATAATTCTTTTTCAATCGTTGAATAATTTAACTCATGCTCGTTGAGAGTTCTACTTGCATAGCATATAGGCTTATGCTCTTGCGAAAGGACGGCCCCTATTGCCATATTACTCGCGTCTGTAGTTAATGAAAATGGTTTTTCGAAGTTAGGGTATATTAAAATTGGGTCGGATGTTATGAGTACTTTTAGCTTTTCAAACGCTAGCTCGTAGTCTCTGTCTTTTATATTGATTTTTGCTCCCTTTTTTAATTTAAGTGTTAATGGTTTTACTATATTAGCGAAATTTGGTATAAATTTCCTATAGAAACCACATAATCCTAGAAATGATTTAATTTCTTTTGGGGTTTTTGGAATTGGGAATTTGACAATTGCTTGTATCTTGTTGGGATTTGGTTTTATACCCTCAGTTGTGATGATGTGACCGAGAAATTCAGTTTCTTTTCTCATAAACTCGCATTTATCCAACTGTAGTTTTAAGTTAGCTTCTCTAAGCTTCTTAAATACCTTTTGTAGCGACAAAATGTGTTCCTCCAATGAAGTGGAAAAAATAATAATGTCGTCTAAGTAGACCAGACAATCTTTAAAAATTAAATCTTCTAAGAGATTGTTCATACAACGTTGGAACGTTGCAGGTGCATTCTTAAGACCAAATGGCATGCGAGTGTACTCGTAATGGCCATGTTTAGTCGAAAATGCGGTCTTGGGTATTGAACCAGGATCCATTTGGATTTGGTGGAAGCCTTTGGCTAGATCAATGGTTGTGAAATATTGACATTTTCCAAGTTTGTCTAATATTTCATCCATGATCGGGATAGGGTATTTATCATTAATAGTTAGTTCATTGAGATTGCGGTAATCTATGACTAACCGGAACTTTTGCTTTCCAGATGCATCGTTTTTCTTTGGAACGATTATTACTGGTGAGCAGTAAGGGGATTTGGATTTACGTATGATATTTTGTTTTATCATATCGCTTATTTGTTTATTTACTTCCTCATCGTATATTTGAGGATATTTGTATGGACGCTTGTAAATTGGGTCCTCATGTTTTGTTAGAATTTTGTGTTTAATTGTACTAGTGAAAGTCAAATTGTCACCTTCATGGTACTGGATATCACGAAATTCATGTAAAACTTTTTTTATTTTTTCTTTTTCTTCTGAGTTTAGGTGCTCTAGCCTAAACTCATTGTTTTCTATTAATTCATTATTAATAGCGAAGTTAAATGGTCTGTCCTCTGTTGAG